CAGGGGGAAAGAGATTGTTTTCAACTAGATGCTGTTGTACTGCATCAGTACCACACCAATTCGTAATTGAAAGTGTTTGGTAAGTCAGGTAATTGGCCTGAGGTACATGGTGTTCGCCCATTTGCTGGATTTTTCATTATTAGGTAGTTTTCCAGTTGTTAGCCACTTTTCAATTTCTCCTCCTTGTAGTATATTGTTGAACTGTTTGGCAATGAGTGGGTGTATAACAGTTAGATGTTTCAACCAAAACCCATGCAGTTCATCTTCACCTGGTGCTGACCAATTTTTGAGTTTCTTTGCTCTTTTTTCTACCATTTTTGGTGTTATTACTAGTTCTTTCATTTCAACTTCTGTTTTATTTGCATCCACCTCTTTTAACCAAGCTGCATCCTTGTTGTATTTCTTTGGGTTATCCCATATCTGCTTCCAGAATTGCACTGTTTCTTCCTTGTCAGGTACTGACTGATTCCGTGCAGTTTCTCCATGGATGGATTGGTAGAAACGTTTCTGATTGGATTGAAATTGGAGGTTCTGCCTATAGTTTGCAATTCGAGCCCCAATCCTACTGATTTACCGGCTCATAGATGTTATTTGTTGCCTTTATTATTCTCAGTGATTCATTGAACTTCCTTGTTTATTAAATGTGGTTCTTATATTGATTAGGTAATCTTTGGTCTTCTTGTTTCAGCTCTTTTATTTCACTGTTCTAGCTTGAGCAGTGATCGTAATTGCGATCTTATTTTATGCGAACTTCCATTTTTGTGGTGCACTATTTGTTAGTTTTTCTTCTTTGTTGATTTTGCATCCAGGTATTCAGTTATAACTGCAGCTGTGCTGTACATTAGTTGGTTTGTTTCTTGCAGTGAATTGGTGCTTATACTTGCTATTGCAGTATTTGCATCTTTTAATGCTTGTGATAGCTGTTTCTTTGAAACAAGCTTCAATGCAGGCAGCCTTATTCTGTTGTTTTTGTGCTGTTCTAGATGCTCAGTTATTCTTTGGTTCAATTCTTTTATTTCTTTAGTTAGAGGGTTTTGTTCTTCCTGAGGAAGAGGTGCCTGGTTTCCAAATGAGAACAGTTGTATATCTCTGCTGGATTCCTTCACTGCCAACTCCCACTGGTTTGCCTCTACATTCTGAATTACTTCTGGTAAGGCTTTGATTTCTTTGCCTTGGGTAAACCTTTGCAGTTCGTCCAATTCTGTTTCTGTGAATACTTTATTTCGTGTTATAAATCGGCGTTGATCTGCTAGTCTCTGTTCTGTTATTTCTGATTCATGGATGTTGTTCTTCCAGACTGGTGCATTCGTTTTAGATATCCTCTTCTTGTTGGACTTGATTCTGTGGTAAACAAGATCAGTATTTCTTTGTTTTCCATCAACTTGTGTATCTTCTGCGATGGGTAAACACCTTTTCTTCCGATTAGTTTTCTGCAGCTGCTGGCCCTGGTTTGCTCATGCCAACAGGTCCCCCTGATCCTGTAACCCATTTTTCACCAGATATCCAGGAACTCCAATATCCATGCGGACCTTGTTAACCCGGGAGCGACGTCCGAGCCGGTAAATGGCATCTGCAATTTTACGTCTCACCATATTTTTTATGGGAGAGACACTCTTTGTCTGACTCCTCTGATGAGACCTGTCCAGTATGGTTGAACCTCTGGCATAGCTCTCATCTTCCTCAGAGTACACAAGCCCCACAACCACGTCAAGGTAGTGCCTCTCTGGGGGATTATTATTATTATCATTCATCGCACAGTCAGCCAGATGTTCAGCCTGGATTTGGCATTTTGTCTACCTATCGAGTCCTTACCCAGGACCTGGGATAGGCAGATGTGGATGTTTGATGGTATTACAGGTATCGTCGCAGGATGGAAGCAGTTCCTAATAAGGCCGCCTTTTGCAATTGACTAATAGCAAATTGGTCAATGCCAATGGTGTTCAAGTGGTGCTCCAGTTGTTTTGGGATTGCGCCCAAGGAGCCTATGACTATTGGTACTACCCTTGCTTGCTTTTGCCACAGTCTTTCTATTTCTATTTGTAGGTCTTTGTATTTTGTTATCTTCTCCAGTTCTTTCTCTTCTATTCTGCTATCTCCAGGCACTGCCAGGTCCACTATCCAGACTTTTTTGTCTTTCTTATCGACAATTGTTAAATCTGGGGTGTTATGTTGCAGGTGCTTGTCTGTTTGAATTCTGAAGTCCCAGAGCAGTTTAATTTTATCATTTTCTATGACTTTCTCTATTTTATGATCCCACCAGTTTTTGCTTACAGGCAAATGATAATTTTTTGCAGATCTTCCAATGCACCATTGTTGCTACTTTGTCATGCCGCTGCTTGTAATCAGTTTGTGCAATCTTCTTGCAACAGCTTACCAAGTGGTCCACTGTTTCTTCAGCTTCTTTGCATAGCGGCACTTACTGTCTGTTGCTGTCTTCTCAATTTTGTCTTTGTATGCATTTGTCCTTAAGGCTTGGTCTTGTGCAGCCAGAATTAATCCCTCGGTCTCTTTCTTCAATTTTCCTGCTCTTATCCATTGCCAGGTTTTATTGTTATCTGCTTTCCCAGCTATTTTTTTCATGTATTGGCCATGTAGTGCTTTGTCTTCCCATGCCTCTATTCTGTTCTTCATTTGGTCTTTCTTGTAGGCCAGTTTGGTCTCTCCAGTAGTTAGTAAGCTTTCCTGATATACTAATTTCAGTGCATCTTCATCATTGTTCTTCAGATATTCTGCCAAAGCCATTTTTTCTTCTTCAACCATCTGATGTACTTGTAGCATTCCACGCCCACCTATTTGCCTTGGTAGATAAAGTCTATCAATGTCACTGCGTGGATGAAGGGCATGATTCATTGTCATTATTTTTCTGGTCGGCCTATCCATTGCTTTTAGTTCTGCTTGAGTCCAGTCCACTATTCCAGCTGTGTACCTAATGACTGGGATTGCCCAAGTGTTGATTGCCTTTATGGTATTTCCTCCATTGATTTTGGATTTTAAGATCTTCTTCACTCTCTTGATGTATTCACCTCTAATCTTTTTCTTGACTTCAGTGTGCTTGATGTTGTCAGCTTGAATGATACCCAAGTAATTGGTAGGATTCTTCCTCTCCAGACTCTTATGTTATTCAATGGGGCATCTTGATTCCTTCAGTTTTCACTATTTTTTGCCTTGTTTGATAGGTAAGTGTGGCACATTTGTCCAAGCCAAACTCCATTACAATATCTTTGGCTATATATACGGACAGTGTTGAGCAGCGATTCTATTTCAGATGATGTTTTTCCATACAGTTTCAGATCATCCATGTAAAGTAGGTGGGATAGTCTGGCAGATGTTTTTGATGTTTGATAGCCATGTCCTGAGTTATTCAGTATTGTTGACAGAGGAAACAGTGCAATAACAAATAGTAATGGTGATAATGAATCTCCTTGAAATATTCCTCTCTTGATATTAACCTCTCCCAGCCTCTCACCATTGATCTGCAACTGTGTCTTCCATTGTGCAATCGATCTTTGCACAAATTTTCTGATGTTTCTACTGACTCCTGTTATTTCTAGGCACTTTATTATCCAATCATGTGGCAGAGAGTCAAATGCCTTTTTGTAGTCAATCCATGCCACATTCAGGTTGGTCTTCCTTCTCTTGCAGTTTTCCAAGATCATTGTGTCTATTAGGAGTTGAGCTTTTGTTCCTCTGCTATTGGGGCGGTTTCCTTTCTGCTCAGGTGGAAGAGATTGTTTCAACTAGTATGCTGTTGTACTGCATCAGCTACCACAGCAGTTAGTAATTTGAAGGTTGTTGGTAAGCAGGTAATTGGCCTGTAGTTACCTGGTGTTGCCCCTTTTGCTGGATTTTTCATTATTAGGTAGGTTTTCCCAGTTAGCCACTTTTCAATTTCTCCTCCTTGTAGTATATTGTTGAATTGCTTGGCAATGAGTGGGTGTATAACAGTTAGATGTTTCAACCAAAACCCATGCAGTTCATCTCCACCTGGTGCTGACCAATTTTTGATTTTCTTTGCTCTTTTTTCTACCATTTTTGTTGTTATTACTAGTTCTTTCATTTCAACTTCTGTTTTATTTGCATCCACCTCTTTTAACCAAGCCGCATCCTTGTTGTATTTCTTTGGGTTATCCCATATCTGCTTCCAGAACTGCACTGTTTCTTCCTTGTCAGGTACTGACTGATTCCTTGCAGTTTCTCCATTGATGGATTGGTAGAAACGTTTCTGATTGGATTGAAATTGGAGGTTCTGCCTATAGTTTGCAATTCGAGCTTCATATCTACTGATTTTAAACACCTTTTCTTCCAGTAGTTCTGCAGCTGCTGGCCCTGGTTGCTCAGCCAACAGTCCTGAGTCCTGTAACCCATTTTTCACCAGATATCCAGGAACTCCAATATCTAGTGCGGACCTTGTTAACCCGGGGCGACTCCGAGATTATTATTATTATTATTACATTATTATTATTATTATTATTATTATTATATGATCATCGCATAGTCAGCCAGATGTTCAGACTGGATTTGGCATTTTGTCTACCTATCGAGTCCTTACCCAGGACCTGGGATAGGCAGATGTGGATGTTTGATGGTATTACAGATATCGTCGCAGGATGGAAGCAGTTCCTAATAAGGCCGCCTTTTGCAATTGACTAATAGCGAATTTGTCAATGCCAATGGTGTTCAAGTGGTGCTCCAGTTGTTTTGGGATTGCACCCAAGGAGCCTATGACTATTGGTACTACCCTTGCTTGCTTTTGCCACAGTCTTTCTATTTCTATTTGTAGGTCTTTGTATTTTGTTATCTTCTCCAGTTCTTTCTCTTCTATTCTGCTATCTCCAGGCACTGCCACGTCCACTATCCAGACTTTTTTGTCTTTCTTATCGACAATTGTTAAGTCTGGGGTGTTATGTTGCAAGTGCTTGTCTGTTTGAATTCTGAAGTCCCAGAGCAGTTTAATAATAATAATAATAATAATAATAATAATAATAATAATAATAATTATGGTTGGGTTGTCATATAGTCAGATATATTTGGCATTTTTATAATTTCTTATTTATAGCAGTTATAATATAATCCCTCATTTTTTCTTAATAAAAATTAATATAATAGTGAGTTGTACCTATGAATCAGTGCAGAAAAGAGCAATAAAGATCATAAGAGGTCTGGAGGCTAAACCATATGATGAACGGCTAAAGGAACTATAGATAAGGCTTAGGAGGGGCATAATAGCTGTCTTCCCATGCTTGAAGGGCTGTCACAGGGAAAAGGGGATTGATTTATTCTTCAAAGCACCTGAGAGCAGGACAACAAGCAATGGATGCAAGCTTATTAGAGGAAAATCCAATCTTAAACTAAGAAGAAATTTTCTGACAATTAGAACAATTAGTCAGTGGAACAGCTTGCTCCTAAAGTCATGGGTGTTCCATCCCTGGAGGTTTTCAAGAAAAGATTAGACAACAATTTGTCCACGATGGAATAAGGACTTCTGCCCTGGGCAGGAGGTTGGATTATAAGACCTCCAAGATTCCTTTCAGTCCTATGAGTCTATGATTTTATGAGCCTTACAGGGCCCATGTTTAAAGAAGGTGTTTTAGAAGTAAAGTAACATATTATGAAATATGTCACAAAGATTTTCTGCTTTCCTCTATACACTTTCCTTGTAGCTTCTGTCTGGAATAAATTATTTTCAGGTAACTACATTTTATTTTTTCACAGTAATGAAAAGAATTTCAATGTCTGCCACTGCGGCTTACTGCCAAAGATTCAACCCTGCAGAAATGAAATCTTAGACAACAATGCTTTTTTTTTCCTGGTGCTTTCTATTGTTTGTGATAAAAGCAGAAGCTGGTGATATTACTGTTACTGGTAAGCTATTTCAAGATTACTGCAAATCTTCATTGGTTGATGTTTCTTTCTCAGTTTTCCTGTAAGGCAGAGTCCCCCAACCTTTCCAGCTTTATGGATTGATGGGGGGGGGGGAGAGGTGATGGTTCCGCTCAAATGGCCAGCAAGCATTCATGGCTCAATTTGTGCTTGTCTGCTGCTCAAGCAAGTGGAGATGCGTATGTGCTCAGCCATCGCTTCTGTGGTTGGTTCCAAACAGCTCATGGCTCAGTAGCTGGCCGTGGGTCGGGAGTTGGGGACCCCAGCTATAAGGGGTTGTGTTTTTAAAGATATTTTCCTATCTAAAGTGTGATCTTATATCTTTCACAGAGGCAGATTTTAATGATTTCTAGATAGGGAGGGCTTCATAGGTCAGGGGCAGGAATATGCATATTTTTGTTAGCTATAAAAGTCTATTATGCATGTCAATAAACAATATAAGGCTTTTCAAGAATACATACATTTTTGTCCATTACTCATCCTTCAAAACTCCATCCTCTTATGAATATATCATAGGTCGGTCTTGAATAGCAAACAAGGGTTATCTTTTTGTTAAATGTGTTATCTACACAGTTTTTCAGCTTCTGAAGATAAAAAAGATTTCAATTAGAAGATTCAATGAAAAAAACACACTTTGTATGAAAAAAGATTCTGGGTTCAATTCCCAACAGTTCCTGTTCCTGATCATTCTGGAAGTTCCTCTTGGAAATCCTGGAGAAATGTATCAGTGCTGATTGTATTGAGATTGATAAATTCGATGTATATTAAAGACATATTGAATATGTCTTTAATATACGTTGACTCTATGGAATCTTTGAACTAATGCTGAATCAGGTAGAGACTCTGTAATCTTAGTCCAACATTTGTATTCAGCAACTCAGCCATTTTTTTTTTCTGACATAATTAAACTGCAGAATTTTCTTTGAAATGCTGCTGCTCTGTATACCGGTAGTTTGTGGGGAGTCAATTTCCTCATTAGTATGAACACTGGCCTCAACCCAGCCCTTGGTGCCAGATTTTTTTTTTTTTTATCTCCTGAAATAGATCTACCAGGCAAATGGTGGTTTTTAGGCTTCCCCTTATAGGAATTGGGGGGGGGGACTTAATTAGGTTTTGCCCCCTTTTATATGTTGCCAAATTCACCTAGTATGAAATAAGACATGTGCGTGCTTGTGTGTGTGTGTAAGAATTTTCTTTTCTTTTCCAGTAGAATGAGGGTAAATGGACTTCTGCTATTTCAGGACCTTTGGATGGTTGCGACATGCAATGTCTCAGTGTTTTGATATCAGAGGTCTTCGTGGGTTGTCTTTTAGAAGATCCAAGGAATGAGGCTTGTTATCTTATTAATGGCTGTAGAACTAGTGCTGGCAATGAAATTCATAAAATATCACATACTGGCAAACTGATGCCTTATTGTTATTAGTTGAGGAGCTGATTGCTTCTCAAAGGTCTACATATGTACCTAGATGCTTATAATAACTAAAATGTCCTTTTTTAAAAAAAAAAAAAGATAGTACTGACTTTTAAAATTATTTTCAGATTGCCTTAAAAAGCATATCAATATGAGGTACAGAGCCATCAGCAACCACAAATTTATTGTATCATGTGACCTGCCATCTGAAGACACCACATCAATTTACAACCATTCTCCTCTTTCTGAAAATCATGTAATGTGGTTCCGTCAGTCCAGTGGTGGAGGAGCCACTATAATCCTCAGTGATAAAACCGCCAATCCTACTCTTTGGGGGAGCTCACTTTGGTTTAGGCCAATAAAAACTGAACATTCTGGAACATACATCTGTATGAAAAGGTTGGTTGTGTGAGTAAACTTCTATTTTGCTAGTGTTTTACCATCCCAACAATCACTTTTTAAAAAATCTGATATGATCTGCAGCTAATTCTTTGTAAAATATGTTTTTATTTAAACAACATTTTCATATTAATCATAAGTCAGAAAAAGAATGGAAACTATTAAGAGTATACCCAGATGCTGTGTAGTGTGATCATAGCCACATACCTTCATGAATGATATGATACTGTATAATATAATTTTGGAACATGTTAAATTAAACCAGGTTACAAAGCTATCCAATAGATAGTGAACAGGAACTTTTACTCAAGCAACTGGAAGGCTCACAATGTCCATACAGTTTTGGAGCATATTAAATCTTCAAACCTCTTTGTCAATTTCTTCCATAAATAAAATCTCTTTTACAATCATAGGATATATTGGGACATTATAATTTTTTTTCAAAGATTTTAATAATACAGTGGTACCTTGGTATGCAACTGTTTTGAAACTCATCAAATTTGGTACTCAATGCATTTTGATGCAAAAATGTTCAGAACTCATCGGTTGTTTGGTATTTAATGCACAAGCTAGAACTTATCAGTGTCAGCTGCTTGTGATTCACTACATTATTCCTTATGGAAAAAAAATGCTGGTACACATCGCACCTTCCAGAACCAATTAACAATGAGTACTGGGGTACTACTGTACATTTCAGGTTCAGCAATGTATTGAATTCATTTTTTCTCTTCCTGCACAGAATTAGTCTCTGAATAATTTCTCCTGAAGTTTCTTTTTGTGTCACACAGGGATAACATATCACCATGTGTCAATATTTTAATAGCTGTTCAAACAAAAATTATGGCTAATTGTTCAGTTAACAACAGAAATGACATTTATCTATTTGTGGACCAAGGAACATCTATTGGTTGCCCAGGAAAAAACTGTTATTCTAATTTTCCACAATCATCAGTGAAATGGTACAAAGTAAGTTTTTTTTAAGATAACAACTCCCTTGAATCCATTCAATTGCTGTGCATTTCACAAAACACTGAAATAGCTTTGATTTGTTTGAAAAATTATAGAGAGATTGTTTGTCCTTATTTCTACTGGAATATTTTCTTTGACCTCCCAATTTAACCTTTTACCCTAATATTCCCTGGTTTCTTGAGAATCTAAGCAAGTTTGGATCTTTTGAGTACTTGGATATACATTCAAGATTAGCCAAAGTCGAGTAGGTGCTGCTACTGGTTGGCAAACACAAAGCCATTTGGTTTTAATTTTAATTTAATTTTAAGAGCCATGGTGGAGCAGTGGTTAGAATGCAGTATTGCAGGCTAATTCTTTCAACTGCCAGCAGTTCGATCCTCACCAGCTCAAGATTGACTTCCATCCTTCCAAGATTGGTAAAATAAGGACCCAGAATGTTGGGGGCAATATGCTGACTCTGTAAATTGCTTAGAGAGGGCTGTAAAGCATTGTGAAGTGGTATTGCTAATTGCCATTGGAAAAGTGGGATGGGGAAGGTCGTAGAATCTGGTTTCATATAGAGTAGGATTTCACAACCTGGCACTCTTTGGCTGTAATGGATCACAATTTCTGCAGTTCCCAGCCAGCATGGTCAAAACCAGAAAGGGATTCATATGAACTGGAATACCACATATCTGGAGTGCACTGGTACAGGGAAGGCTATTGCAGAAATAAAAGCAAATTAAAACTCCTTATTTTCACCCAAAGTTCTTTAATTATACCTTTCATGACTAATAATCATGATAGTTTTGTAATTCATTTGAGGATCAGAAATCATACACTTATGAATACCAGTTGCTATGAAGTATCTGGCGGTTAACTTGAGAATTTGTGAATTTGCACATTTCAACCTATCATAATATTTGAGTTGTTCATCTTTATCTTTTTTTAGAATGGAATACAAGTAGAACGTAAAAAGAAAAGACCTGGCCTACAATTCTACCACGATAAACTAGTGCTGCGTTCTGTATATGATAAAGATAATGGTACTTATACATGCGATTACATGTTGACTGACAACAGTATGCAATGGAAAATGAGAACAATACTAAATGTGCATGTTATCTGTAAGTCACTTTACATAATTCAGCATAATAAATAATTTCATATAGTGATTTATGTTTTTGCAGTGATATATATACTATATCAGACTTTAGAGTTTATTTTGTTAAATTATAATTATATAGTAATATTTAATAACTAGTTGAATTATTTGCTTATCTTTGTCATTCCTGACTGGTCTAAGCAGTTATGACATTCCCTTCTTAAAGCAATTTACTAGAAGATAGAAACATGCTTTTTACAAACTTTTAAAATAAATTACAAAAAAATGAGATCTATGTGGTAATAAATAAATAAATCATTGACAACACTTCTTTTTCAAAATGGATTGAATTTTATCTTGGAAAACTTTACAAGAATGCATTCAAATAATTCTTGTTTAAGATTGATGCAACTAATATGCTATGGCAGATTATTATGGTAGCCCAATTATGCATGTTAAGATAATTTCAGTGGGAAATCTATATATCATATGGAAAAAGTTCAGTTGAAGGAACAGCACCAATTTAAACCCTGATTTTTTATTCTAGTAGATAGTGAGGTTGCATATGGATGGTTAAGTGTGAACATGCATATCATAAGCAAGCAAATAAAAAACATTGTTCTAAAAGATAACACAGTATTATTTATTAGCCAGTTTCATTTTTAATGAGTTTCACAGATATGTGACATTGATTATTTATTAAATTTATATGGCATTTGTCTTGCAGTATATGTGTGTGTCTCTGTATTTGTGTAAGAAGTCTAAGAAATCTCCTGCCCACCTCGCAATTTGAAAGCATACAAATGCGAGTAGATAAATAGGTATCACTTTAATGGGAAAGTAACAGCTTATAGTCATGCTGGCCATATGACCACGGAAATATCTTCAGACAACACTTGCTCCCTCGACCAAGAAATGGAGATAAGCACCACCCCTTAGAGTTGAAAACAACTGGATAGGGGAAATTTTCCCCTTTCCCTTTACTAGGAAAAATCATTATTTTATAGAACAAATTGTTTTTCTTTGCTCTCTGCTTGACTTCAAAAGTCTGTTATCTATCAGGCTTATGGAAATAACTCTATTCTGCTACTTGATTGAGAAGTATGTCAAAAGTAGGGCTAATGGCTGCAAAAATCCAGATGAATGCTAGATGGTATCAAAGGATTCACATTTCTCTATTCATTACTGCCATTTAGAAATCATCCATATTTTTTCAGAGAAGATGTGGTACTTTTACTTGTCTCAGAGGCAGAAGGACAGCAGAAGAGAAACATCTATCCGAGAAAGAATCAGGGCACCAGTCACTTTTTGCTATAGTCCTGTCATTCCTAAGAGGTTATGTTTTAAAATTAAAATTATTTCACAGATACACATGCATGCATGCACGCATACACTATCTCACACGCAGAAGAAAAGCACATCTTCCTTCTCCTATCCTTACCACTTTCTAAGGGGATGCCATACAGCATCACAGTCTGGTTTAGAAGCATCACTGCTTCAGCAGGAAGGCGGTGCAGAGAGTGGTGAGGATGGCCGAAAAGATCATTGGCAGTTCCCTCCCTCTCATCCAGGACATAGCACAGAGGTGTTGCTTGAGCAGGGTCCGTAAAATTATCTGGGACACTACACATCCTCTTCAACGACCTGTTTTCCTTGTTACCTTCTGGGAGGAGGCTTTGTGGTATCTGAAGCAAAACATTCAGATTCAGCCATAGTTTCCTTCCATACAGCATTAACCTTGTGAACTCTCAAGCTTCCTCCTTCCATTGTATATTCAAGATGGATAGTGTTTAATATTTATTTGTTATGTATATGTAGCAGTGTGGGTCTATACATATGTTGTATATAGTATGTTTAGGTGTGTGTCATGTATGTGTTTCACTTTGAGAGTGGGCAACTAAATTTTATTTTTGATGTGTGCCATTGTGCCCGCAGTAAAAAAATGACAATAAACATTAACTTGTCTTGTCTTGTCTTGTCCTGTCCTGTCCTGTCCTGTCTTGTCTTGTCTTGTCCTGTCCTTTTCCTGTCTTGTCTTGTCCTGTCCTGTCCTGTCCTTTCTCGTCTCGTCTCGCCTTGCCTCGTCTTGTCTGGTCTTATCCTATCTTATCCTATCCTATCCTATCTTGTCCTGTCCTGTCCTGTCCTGTCTTGTCCTACCTTACCTTACCTTATCTTACCTTACTATCTCATCTCATCTCATCTCATCTCATCTCATCTCATCTCATCTCATCTTATAGAAGTATCCTTTGCCTGTGATATAGGTACATATCTGGAATAAAAGTTTAGCCTCTGGAACCAAAAGCTACAAAAAGCTTTACAGAACTTACTTTTTTGAAAAATATATATTTTATTAATTTTTTACAATAACAATCTTTAATGCTTCATGAACAGTGTGTTGTCTGGGTTCATATATTTAAAACAATGATAATTAATTTCTACAATTAATATGTTGGTAATATATTTCTTGACCCTCTCTTCTTCCTGTAACATTCTCCTTTTGTCTACATTAAACAAATATAATTCTTAATATTTTCAGTATATACCAAGCTGAATATAAAACATTTTTAGTATTTATGCATATAATAGTAACATCAACATATAACATGTTTTTAATCAGCTTGTTTCCATTGTATTTATAAAAATCATCTTATTAAATCATTATATGTCCTGGTTTCAAGATTCTTATTGAAGCTTAGTTTCCCCTCAGTATTCAGACTACTCTTATCAATCATAATTTTCTCAAAATCATTACCTTTAAATATCCAAAGTTTTCATTTATATAGACCCTCTCAATGTTTTAACATTTCACATATTCTAAAAGTATTATACTACTTATATACCTTATTCCTCTTACTATAGGGCTCCTTTTCAAGCTTTATCTATTCTTTTGGCCATATTCCAACAATATTTAATCCTATAATACACCATCTAATAATATTTCTCTAGGACCTCTTCATATCCATATATTTATTAACCACATTCAAACAAGTGTTTAGTCATATAATATTCCATCTGATAGGTTGAATCACGTCTCTTGACTCCAACTTTAATCTTCTTTTGCCAAGGAGAAGGTGTTGGGTATGGTTTTCTATCACTTTTAGACAGGTATATAATATCCGTTTTATTTCTCCCCCTCTAAGTAGTTTTTCACCGGTGTCATAATCTTTTTAATTAGCTTTATCAAGCCAACCCATCTTAAAATCCAAACAGCCAAATCTTTATATAATGGTTTTATAATCCAATATGTTTCCAATTGTCAAGGCACCACTGAAAACAATATTTTGTGATGGTTCTTCTTTTCAGGGGTCTTGTAATTATCAACCAGTCAGGATTCAGTCCAAAGTATTTGACCATCTAAAACTTTTCCAGTAATTTCTCCTTTAGAAGATTAGCCAAAGGCCAAGATTTTTCTTTCTCTGCAAACAGTTCTTAGGTTTAAGAATGCAGATCCGTGTGTTTATAATCCCAGAATGTCAGCAGTTTCTAAACATATGTAGTTTCACTCAGTAATAGATAGCTCAATGCTTTGTTCCCAGCTGTTTTTTGCTATTTTTAGGCGTCTTGCCATATTCTGGGTCAAAGCTGCTATAGTTTTCTCTAATCCTCCACTAGATGTCACTGTTCATTTTTCAACTTTTTAAAACAAAGAGTTATTTTTGTTCTTCCTTTTCAGGTATAGAGTTTTAACAATTTTTTTAACTTTCAAATTTACCCAAACTGTAGTATTTTATATTTTTACTCCCCATAAGGGTTTAATTTGCCACTTCCATCTATAGAAGAGTGAGGTAATCCCTTCCCTTTTCACTTTGGGAGGCTTTTTGCTTCTTGGGGAACTTTTCCAGGAAATCAGATATAAAATAGGAGAGAGAAGATCAAATTCCTTACCTAGTTTCAAGCAACTGTGGACTTCGGCTGCAAGTAGTTTGGACTGGTCAACAAAGTGTGACCAGCCTTTCTCCTGTCGGGTTAGAAGTCTTTCCCCGAATCAAGGGAAATGACCGCCATCATTCCAGAATCATTGGGGCACCCTTCTTTTCTTTGCCACCTCTCTGACTTAGACCCATTTAGGGCCCTCTGGCAGGGCAAAACTAGCTGTGGGGTGTGGAGAGCCACAATCCCGCAATCCCATGACCGGGCGCTACGGCACAAACCAGAAGTCTTTACAGAACTCACTTTTGCTGAAAGTACTTAATCCTGGAAAGAAATTGCTTGCAATATTTCAGCTAACTAAATGATGGCTGGTGTCATTCCAATTAAGAGGTATCTTGTCTGTGTTTTCTCATGGATCTTTCTATTATAACCTAGACATGCATTGAACATGTTAAAGATAATTTATTTATTTTTTAACTTCTAACACACCATTTTTCATGTTTTAGCAAAAGACACTATCCATCCTCCAAAGATTTTGAATCCCAGTGATGAGACAACCCTTGAAGTAGAAATTGGTAAGAATTAAATTTTCACTTTTATTTTGCAACTTATGAGATAATAGGTATCTTACATTGACTGCATTCCAGTTTAAGCCAGAACTTAATTTTAGTCAAAATGGACTAGTTGTGGGTACTTTTGGATTACTTAATTTATAATATAAATCATAGATTGTCTATTATTTTAGCAAAATAGCAGGATTCTATTCTGAAATAGGGGAAAAGTCACAATTTATTCTCCCAGCTGGTAAACAGCTGCAGCTTAAAAGTATGAATTTCATAGAACAGTTGCAGTATATAGATTCAAGTGTATATTACCAGCATTTCAAGGGACTGGACATTATATTTTAAAGTTCTAAATGTGTTGGAGTCTTAGATATTATGATCTTTCTAGGAGAAAGCTTTTTTTAGATTTTGTAATACTAAGTGTAATAAAGGGGAGAAATATAACTTATTAAAATGTAGGCAAGTGCCTTCTCTGCAGCCATTTTAGTTTATAAGTTCCTTATTGGCATCCTCCCTCCCACTACCAATGTACAACATATTTTTGTTTTTTAAAAATGAGAGATGTTTGACTTTTCATTTTGTGGAATTGTTCTCCCTTCAAAGTAGTTCAGACAAGAAGCAGATCCAGGAGTATTAAAATGTATTGTAAGGGTACATTAACATAACCTTGCAACTCCTAAAGTACTTTTCACTTTTACAGTCCAATAAACTAGGAAGGGTCCCTTCTGAGATGTTTGCCATGCTCCATTACTTCTGTAGACTCATCTGTCTCTTATCTGACCATTGCCATCTATGGCTCTACATCCTATCTCCTAACATCATTCCCACTTACCATAACAGGAATATATAGTTTTATTATTCTGTATCAATTTGCTCTAATTAATATGTGTCCATAGCATTACATTAGAAGACTCACATTTATCATATTAAATGCAACATTTTTCAAATATGTCATAATTAAAACCTAATAGGAGAGACACAGTTTATATATTGGTTAAGACATCAGGCTAGAAACCAGAAGATTGAAAGTTCTAGTTCCATTTTAGGCATGAAGCCATTCACAGTCTCACAGCCATAGAAAGCAAGAAATGGCAAATCCTTCTGAAAAATCTTCCAAGAAAACTGCAACTGTCCAAGCAGCTGCTAGGAATCAAGACTTACTGAAACACACATACACAAATACAAACATACACCCAAACACACATGCCTAGTATAATTATTATCCTATGTGCTTCAATATCACCTCCTTTCCATCAAGTGCATGAAAGATAGATTGGAAGTGGTGTGTGATGAAATCTAATGAAAATAGTAAATATACTAGTCTTTAAAATGCAACAAGATTTTTTGTGTAAAAAACCCTATAGCTACATGAATTATTTTTTGAAGAACCTTTGTATACGCTACTTAATATTAATAATCTGCAAATTTTCAAATCCTGTGTAAAGAAACTCATAACCATTTGCAAACTACTCTAAAATATTTTCTGATCCGTGGAAAATATACTTACTGTTTTTCCCCCACCCTCATCTTTTTTATTTTTTAAGGTCAACCAATTGATCTTGAATGCAAAGCACAATTTGGTTTTGAAATGAATGCTTCCTCCTCACTACAATGGTACCGAGAAACCAGTAAAAGCAAACAACTGATACAGCAAGACAGGTGGGGAAAGTGTCTGAATCAAAGGAAAGAAAGAAAGAAAGAAAGAAAGGAAGGAAGGAAGGAAGGAAGGAAGGAAGGAAGGAAGGAAGGAAGGAAGGAAGGAAGGAAGATTTAGATTTAGATTTAGATTTAGATTTAGACATACCTATTAAACTCTTATCTGAAATTCCAAGGAGTCTAAGTGCTCCTTGGAGACCTTGGATGCATTTCCCAAAGTTGTCATCGAACTGTATTTTTAATGTTATATTATTAAATATATCTGAGTAATCAGATTAAAAGTAATCAAAGTTACTTTTAATCTCAGTTAGATGAAGTCAGTTTTAATTTTTTAAATCCCCAATATTAATTTTTAAATTGCTTAAGAATTTTAATCCCATCACAAGATTTTTGGGGCATGACTCCTGACATGTTATTCAAAGACAAAATGTGGTCCTCAGTATGGAAATTATTCTGTATCTCAGACATAAAATATATGCCTTCTTATACGTTTGTCATTATAAAACTGCAGATGAAATTACAATTTGTTTATAAGATCCAGTACATAGCTGTAACTTTTCTATTGCCATCTCAATCTTCTTTAACTTGCCCTACTCTGCGAACCCTTAATTCTGCATATATTTTTTCAGGATTATTTTTGGTTTGGTTTTTATACTTGCCAATAAATATAACAAACAGAAAGGAATATGAACATGCAAAGGCCAACATGTTTTAGTAGGTAGATTATGAAACTTGCAAATCATAGATCAGAAGCATAGGATTGTGGGCTATTATGTTTTTACATCTCTCTCTCTCTCTCTCTCTCTCTCTCTCTCTCTCTCTCTCTCTCTCTCTCTATCTATCTATATATATATATAAAATCTATCAAATTTAATCAGCTGCCCATCTCTCAAAAAGCAATTCTGGGCAGTGCAGAACAATCAAATAAAACAAATGTAAAAAACAACAGATATAAAATATATTATATTATCATATTAATAAATATGATAAAACCCAAAGATTTTTAAGTGAATTATCCCTCAGTTCATATCTTGCTAAATCTAATGTGGCTTGTTTGATTTTAGCCCATGAGTTTACCTGAGGTTAGTCATTTAGTTTAGCAATTTTGTTGGGAGTTTAATTTTTCATTGGCTTTATTCAATCAGTTTAATGCATAAATTAGCTATAGGGGTTGGGGGAATTAATATTAAGTGGGTCAGTGTATAGCATGTTAAGATTCTTACTGGAAAGATGGATTATAGAAGAAACATATTAGTACTTGAGTGGTAGATTCATGAGGTGGCGTTTGGAAGACCATGTTGACCAACCATAAATAGAGTTGTTTTTTGTTAAAAAGAACAAGAGTTTCAATGTGACTGGTACATGTGACTGCCACAATTTTTTATTCTTTTTTTCTGAGATTATAAAGAGTCCTGTCTATATATTTAAAATATTTGTTCATGGATATCATAAAAAGCTGCAAATGTTTACACATGGATGGGAGCATGACTGATGATTGATGAGAGCATTATTCTGTTTAGAGTTCATCCACAGGGATTGGATGGACAAACCTTTACTCTTACCTTCAAACTGACAAAAGTAACTGAAGAAAATTTAAACAGCCACTTTATCTGCTTGGCCCAAAATTCTATTGGGAATGCTACTGGAGTGATCAAACTTAAGAGGCAAACAAAAAAAGGTAAAACTGTCAAACCACTAAGATAATATCATTGCTCTAGTTGACGTCATTAACACTTTTCTTTGGTTTTCTGACCTATTATATTATGTTATGGGGTAAACATCTACATGAATTTCATGAGCCTTAGCCTCAATTTCCTATTATAAAAACAGTTCCAGTTTCTTGTGCCATATTAGATAGCTGTTGTTCTTCATTTTCTAATGAATCCATATACTCAATCACAGGGTCTTTTTAAATGGGGCTGCCAGGTCTCTCTGTGAAGTTAGATTGTGAGTGACATGAAGACAAGAGGTTTCCTTCCTTCCTTCCTTCCTTCCTTCCTTCCTTCCTTCCTTCCTTCCTTCCTTCCTTCCTTCCTTCCTTCTGAAGAAATACAGGTAGTCAGGTAGTCCTCATTTAATGACTGCCTTTTTTTTTAGCAATCATTCACAATTAAGGTAGTGAGGAAAAGTAACTTTGCAACCAGTCTTCACATTTACATGAGTATGTGAAGCAAAGGAAAATTGAAGTAGATCATAAGCACAGTTTCAGTTTCACTTAATGACTGCTTCACTTAAAGACCGAGTTGTGGTTGCTAAACGAGGACTACCAATATATGGCTTCTCAGATGAAAATTCCACAGCTAAATATACTTATCTTGGATAAAATTAAGTAATCTTCCTTGCAGGCAGTTAAGACTCCTTGAGGATCTAGGAATACATCTATTTCTTCAGTGGGCAAGTTCAGGTCATCATCTATCACATCCTTCCCCAACTGTTATACTTCATCTTGAACTTCACCATTAATCATTAACTTCATTATTAATTTTGTATTATGTTTTATCTATTTCTATTTTCTCTTTAGCAATTCATTTCTTGCTTATTTTGTGTGGCACTATTATAATATTATTTGGAGTGGTTTCAGGAGGCCTGCTGATTTATAGCCACTGGATTGAACTTATATTATTCTATCGGAATTACCTAGCCAAAGATGAAACTCTGAGTGGTAAGAATGTTTGATTTATGGTAGCATTTAATGGCCAATTTACTAATGGGAGAAGATTGGTCAATACTACTGGTTCTTATCATTCTCTCTCTCTCTCTCTCTCTCTCTCTCTCTCTCTCTCGTATATTTGCTCCTACCTCACTTACCCATCGTCTCTAAGTATCTTAACTTGACATACAGGGATCTCAGCAACCCATTCCCAAATATTGAATACTAATACAATGAATACAAAATATTCATTTTTATAAGAATCCCTGGTTATAGAATTGAGCATGTATTATAATCTCTCCTGACTCAGTAAATGGAACATTGGACTGAAACCTAAGAAACCGTTTTTAAAATCCTGTCTCCCCTCCCATCCCCAACGCAGAGGTATACTGCAACAATATTCAATAGTCTGTAGAATATGAATAATTGATATTAATAATTAATATTAATAATAATTAATAATATGAAATTATTATTAATAAGCCCTTACTTATAATCTTATAACTCATCAATCAGATATGGTTAAAGGAAAATTAGGGAAATTTGGAAGGATAGAATTTTCAGTATGAATCAGGCTGTACCAGAAAAAAAACCCAAACCAAAACACTGCACATGCCCACATTTCTTAAAACTTGACATAATCCTTTTAAATACACAGAAACCAAATCTTTATCAAAGCCATCAGAAAAATCTGATGAACTCTTTTTTTTCATTTCTTTCATTAAATTCAGTTGATGAAAGTTTCAACTTTCAAACATTTCAAATGTTATTATCTGACCTGAATGAACAAAATAAAAACTATGAATGAAATACTGTAGTTGAATTTTAATCTTAAAAACAGAGACAATAGACAGATTTCATAAAAAATATTGGCGGAGAAGAGAAAGAAGGAGGAGGGAAGAATTGCTAAGGATATAGCCTTGATGAATGTGCAGTGGCTGTTACAGAATCTGTTAACTAAGATGTTTTTAATATTAGTTTGCCACAGAGGTATTAAATTCAGGAAATGAATTTAGGTCAAAAGTTTCATTTTCTACAAAAATGAACTTTCATCTCCCCCCCTCTTTTGATCCTTTCTTTTAAAAGTTACTTTCTCATTTTTTGGCTAAAGATAAAACTTTCTATACACTGTTTTTATAATAAAAATATATGATCACTTTCGGACACCTGAAAGGAGCTGGTAGCAAAAGCATTTCTTTTCTTGTGTTCTTATTGTCAAGCAATTCTGAATTATTATTTTTTTATAAGCTAGTTGTAAATGTAGAACAAACAAACCCTCATCAGTGATCTGTTGAATTAAAAATGTTCAGAACTAAAAAGTAGGAGATAAAAACTATGGTGATAATTTTCACACACACACACACACACACACACACACACACACACATAATATGCATACACACACATTCATAAATACATAGCATGGCAATTTTTTGCTTATAACTCACCAGTTTGAAAAGTTCATGCCCCAAATTTCAGAGATAAGCAGGAATTTGAATCAAATATGTCTACATAGCATAGGTCAGTTCCAAATAATAGTATCAGTCTCTGATGAAGATTTAAGTCATTTTTTCCTTTATAATATTTCTTCAACTATTGTCTAGATATGTTAAGACTTCAAATGGCTGTGAATTCTGTGAATTGAAGCCTAATGTAGTTGGAGTTGACTCCTGGGTGCATTTCAAAGTGCTGGTTGTTTTATATAAAGCTCTTCATGGCATAGGTCTTGTTATTTGAGGAACTGCCTATTTCCTATTGTTTCTGCCTGTATGGTACATTCAGGCAGAGTGGATACACTTCACATTCTCTCCATTAAATATTATCATCTTGTGGGATCAAATACGTGTGACTTCTATGTTGTTGCCCCTTCTCGCTGGAGCAGCATCCCTCCAGAGGTAGGTATGGTGCCCAGTCTTCTGGGATTCTGGAAGGACTTTAAGATTTGGCTCTGTTCTCAGGCCTTGAGTTAGTGTGTCTGTGAAATCCTTGTTGTTTTTTATTAGTATGGTTATTTTTAGTCTAGGTTGCCATGTTTGTTTCATTATTTTCACAATTTTCACAATTTTAATTTATGTTTGGATAAATTTTGGAGTGGATGTTCATAATAAATTTAATAAATAATAATCATAATTGTTCTGTAATATCTTATCTGCACAAGATTCTAACACAATCAATATAAAATGGTTTGATTTTTGCATGTTACAAATTGCCATTCATAAATTTTCTGCCTATAATTTCTCAGCATTGGTGCTGTATGCCCATTTTGATATTCTGCATGTTGCATTTTAATCTAGATATGGAATCACTTTATTTTCTATAAGAAAATGCTCCAAGATCAGAATTTGTGACCATTAGAGGATTAAGAATATTGATGCAGTAGTTAACTCACTGCTCAGATGGCCTAAAGATTTTGTTTTAGAGCAGCCTCTGCTGGTAAAATGAAAAATGATACAATTCTCCAGCAATATAGGCAGGGGTGGGATTCAGCCGGTTTGTACCAGTTTGGCAGAACCGATAGTTAATTTTTTGTTGCCCAGGCCCAGAACGGACTTCTGGAAGTGGCATCCATACAGAGAACCAGTTGTTCACATATTTGAATCCCACCACTGGATATAGGTCAGCACATTTTAAGTCAAAGAATAATGTGGCATCATGGAGTGCTTGACTGAAATTGCAGAAAGCTTGGTTTAATGTCCTCTTTGCCCAGTAATGCACAATGTTGCTGTGGGCAAATTATGACTTTTTGACATTGTTTGGAAGTGCATAGTATATAGGAAAGAAGAGGCATGTATATTTTTTTGATAGCTATGAAATTTTCATTTGGAACTTCAATGTTATTTTCATGAGTATGATTTTGTAAATAAGGAACTAGAATAAGAAAATAAATTAATTTTGTGTGAAATACAGGCTTTTTATTTTATTTTTATTACTATTTTATTTTCATAATAAGAATTAAGTAAGATATTGTTTGAAGATAGTGAGGCTCTGTATAAAAAAGAATGGAAATCCAGACCTAATTTTGTGTTCTCATCTCATCAACCTACTGAGTATAGTTCAGCTATATACTGTATGTAGAATGGTTTGTCTAACACAGTGGTTCTCAATCTGTGGGTCGGGACCCCATTTGGGGTCGAACGACCATTTCACGGGGGTTGCCAAACAACGCAGTCTGCCATTTTTTTCCCCTTTTCCTTAGCTGTGCTACTCTCTTTTATTCTATTGGCTTTTGAAAGCCAATAGAATAGACTCTCTTGAATAGAGTCTAATTCTATTGGCTTTCAAAAGCTAATAGGAATTGTCCAGGCTGTCTCTGCTCTGCTGAGCCGCCAAAAGTCTCATTCTGCAAACGGTGCTGCATCAGTTGAGTAGTCCTCAACTTACGACCGGTTGAGTAGTCCTCGACTTATGACCGGTTGGGGGTCGTGGCATTAAAAAGGTTGAGAACCACTGGTCTAACACAACATTTAATACGGTTTTGGTATGAAAATATATCCTAGCCATGGTGGCTGTTTTTATTTTACACTTACACACAGAGGGAGACTCATATAATACACTCATATACAATCAGGCATTCACATGCACACTGTTGCCAGAATATCTCTAGGGCTGCTGCTTTTCCTGTTCTCCTTCCTTGCATTGTCTCAGTATACGTGACAGTAGTGGTCAGTTCAAACAAAACATTTCAACCCATTTCCCTGATTTAGAAAATATTTTCCTTTCCTTCCTTCCTCATTTTTAAGTTTTAATGCCCATTTGCTTCTTTTCATTGTCATTATTTTAATTTATTTATTTTTAGATTGGAAGGAATTTGATGCTTTTGTCTCCTATGCAAAACCAGAGTTCATTGAAGCCAGCCAAGAACCATGCACTGAAGAGCAGTTAGCTCTAGAATTTCTTCCACTCGTTTTAGAACATGATTATGGATATAAGCTGTGCCTCACAGAAAGAGACATCCTTCCAGGTGGAGGTAATATTTTCTCTGATTTCATGCAATAGCTAAAAAAAATAGCTGCATCAATACTTTCCATCATAGAAAAGTGACAGCCTAATATTAGGGGGATGTTAAACATAGCATCATTTGCAAGTGCAGGTAGTCCTCAACTTACAACAGTTCATTTAGTGACTATTTGAAGTTACAGCAGCACTGAAAAAAGCGACTTAGGATTGTTTTCAGACTTACATTGCAGCATCCCCATGGTCATATGATCAAAATTCAGCCACTTGGCATCTGACTCATATTTATGACAGTTGCAGTGTCCCGGGGTCGTGTGATCAGCTTTTGTGACCTTCTGACAAGCAAAGTCAATGGGAAGCCAGATTAACTTAACAGTTGGGTTTCTAACTTAACTATTGCATTGATTCACTTAACAACTGTTGGCAAGAAAGATCATAAAATGGGGCAAAACTCACTTCACAATTGTCTCACTTAGCAACAGAAATTTTGGGCTCGATTGCGGCCATAAGTCAAGGACTACCTGTAAAACCAAACGCAAACCCAAATCATGTTACTGACTCAGCATTTGACCTACTGGAGCAAAATGCAGCGGTTCTGTAAAAGTCATTAGTACTGACAGTATTGGTCAGTGGAAAATGCAAAGAGCCCATATTTATTCCTGACCTAGTGGGAGAGTGCTATTTTGTACTGTAGATGAGCTACTAAGAAAGAACAGTTTCATTTTTACTTCTCAGATTTCATTAACTTGCTTTCAGAGTTTATTGTTTTGCTTGGATTTTATCTTAATACTTGAAATTCTGTAAGCCCCTGCTTTATACCTTTGATTCAAGGCATAGATTCAAAGTCATGAAAAAAAGAAATAAAGTGCATTATTAATCATGCTCTCTTTTGCCAGCATACACTGATGACATTGTCAATGCCATGAAAAAGAGCAGGCGAGTCATCATCATCTTGAGTCCAAATTATGCTACAAGTAGCCAAGCTCTCTTTGAACTGGAAGCAGCAATCAACACTGCCTTGGAAGATAAAGCAATGAAACCCATCCTAATACAGGTTGAGACTTTTCAGGAGCCACCTTCATTATCTCCAAAGGTGAAGAAAGCCCTCAGGATTTTGCCCAGGCTTACCTGGAGAACATCTACGTCTCCCATAGCTAATAAGCACTTCTGGAAGAAATTACAGTATCACTTGCCAGTAAAACACAGCAACAGTGTTGTGAACAAGTGGCCTTCATTTCCCATCAGTAACCGTTGGTGTTGGTAACAGAAAATGAGAAACAAAAGATGAGCATAGCCCTAAGGCATAATACAGTAGGGCCCATTGCTCAGTCTTTCAGAAGCCCCACAGCTATAAATGATTGTTGGATGGCAGATGGGAATTTGAGAAAGGTTCATTTGCATTTTATTTCTAATATGATCATTTTAAACTGAAACTCGGAAAGTAAAATAAAAAATAAAATAAAGCCCATTAAAGACAAAAAAAAAATCTTATCCAAAATGCATATTGGAGGAAGTAATGCGCAATTTGTTGTGATAGAAAAATATGCACTTTATAAATGTGAAGCAAAATGAGCTTGTTAAGATTCTAATATGGAAACAGGAAGAACTATATTTATCCATAGAAAACTGAGAAGTACAGTATGGAAAAGCCAAAATGGGCAGATTCATCTATCTCTAAGTGGGCTCTGGCGACCCTACTGCTAGGATGATCATTTCTGGCTTGCATTTTAACAACTGTGGTCTTTAGCCTTTCATAAACATTATAATTATTTAATGCAGTATTATGTAATGTTAATGTTTATGCCATAGCTATTTATAGACATGCTATTCAGCTGGATACGGTGCTGCTTGATTCGGATTTATCCTTTTAAATATGTTCCTGGCTGTAATGTAATTTAAAGGGTGTGAAAAAATACATTAGTTTTTCTTTTAAAAAAAAACCCTAAATGAATTAAATAATTCATTCAGAGAAACAGAAAATGACCAACTATGAGCAACCTTGTTACTATAATATAATACCATGTTACCATTGCCTATGATTTGTTTCCAAATACAGTTCAAGGTTTTGGCTATTATCTTTAAAGTCCTTGTTTTTTGTGAAATGCACTGGAGATTATAGCTACCAGCTCCCAAATGTATGTTTGTTTGTGTAATTAAGCTATTTTAATGTTACTATTGTATACTATAATGATTTATCAAAGTTGAAAATTGTACATTGTTTAGATTGCAGACAATCGAGGCAATAAAAAAGAAATCCACAAAACAAATTAATAAACAAAACAAAGAAACAAATAAAGGTGATCCTTTGATAGTCCCAACCGTTTCCTGGAGTCTTCCAGTAAAGTCATGGCTGCAGGTCTTGTGATTTCCACTAGGTGTCTCTAACCTAACATTTGATGTGTTTCTGCCAGAAACCCAGAAATGATTGACTGTAAGTAAACCTGGAGAAACTGCTATTGGGGGAGGACCTGTCAAATAGTTCTGTTTCTGGATTCTCTGTAACTCAGAAAGTCTGGTGGATTGTGTTGTAGTAGTCTCGGGAGTGAAAGGCTGCAACTGAAAGCTGTGGCATAGAATATTGCAAAATATTGAAAAAGTCTTGTAAATTAAATTTAGAAGAATGAGTTTGAGAAGACCAACCAACAAGACAGAAAGCCTACATAAAGCTGGAATGATCCTAAAGACTCTGACTTAAAATGGGAATTTAACAAGATAAAAGCAAGTTTAAGATTTCAGCCTTGAAGACATCCCATACATAAAATTCTTCTCATCATGGCTGTTAAAATATTTGGGTGTCTTAGCTGCTTGTTGCTATTATCAAGCCTAGAAAGTTATTTTGCTGTTGGAGAGATGTCTTTGCAACTTTCTCATACAAATTCTAGTGCTTTATCTAAAGCTGACCCCTTTGATGCTACAGAATCAGGACGAGATGAGAGGCTACATATTTTCACCTTAGACTATGAATATGTAGAAATACCCTATGAAGTTACACTTTGGATACTCTTGGCTTCCCTTGCGAAAATAGGTAAGTGAAAAATGCTTATTTAATAAAAGTAGGTGTGAACAAGTAAAACTGGAAAAATAGAAAAAACCCCAGCTTGTTACCAAGGAAATAACAATTTAGTGAGATAATTTAGGTTACAAAGAAGATTCTACTTAAGGCTTGAAAAATTAAGTAAGCTTGTCACCCAAAATCAGTCGTGCAAATATCACCCAGTGAGAATAGATACAGTGCTAATGGTCTTAAAGTTATTTTGGAATGAACCCAAAATTAACCTCCATGTGAATTACATTTGAATATACACACTTTAGCACTGTGTTGCAACTTTTTAATTCAGACATCTTCAAGAGCATATGCAGCATTTAGTGTGAAAAAGTTAACATTTCCTCTGAAAGTTTCACTTCATTAACTTTGGAAAAACACTTGACGGTTTTGCATTTTGGAGTTCAATTTTTAAACATAAAGTGGTTTTTTTAGCCTTCCATTTATATTATGTATGGAAGGTGAGGATTTTACAAAGTAAAATACTATGCATTATTACTTGGATGTAACTATACTTACAATCAGTGGGGTTTATTACAGTGATGATTATGAACAGACCTACAGTTTTAACAACACTTTACATTTTCATAAGGAAGGCAATAAATCGTTTCATTCAAACCACAGTACTTGAAAATATATTGTTAATATTTTAATTTAAATGGTTTGTTTTCATTCCCTACGTTTGAAAATAAATCCAATAAAGATCAATACTGAATTTAAAAAATGATCATTCTCTATATGTATTTAAATTAGAAATAATTTAAAATTCTTACCATTGTCATAGATATGCAGAATTTAAGTTATGTTGTAATCTGATAGAGGCTTATCTTTTTTATCACTAAGAATACCGTCCTTGGTGATTAGTCTTTTGCCTGAATACTGTAAAGTTACAATACAAACTTCAATACTTTTGAAAGATCTATTGATTTGTGAATGCAAAAACCATATGCAGATTTCTTACAGAAAAAGGAACAGTCTACATTATATTATGTTTATGGTGATGATGCTTTAGCACCAATTGTGTAAGCTGCTCTGATATAATGAATACTATTATTTAACTGATATCTATCTATCTATCTATCTATCTATCTATCTATCTATCTATCTATCTTTCTATCTCAAAACTGAAAACCATTTCTAAGAGTCATGGAATAAAAATGCTAGCGTATCTGCTGTCACTCTTCTATGAGGAAGATCACAAATATTGCTGTTCTTTTTGTGTATTGAAGACTATGAAAGTAATGCTGGAAAACAGAGGGTTTGAGATAGGAACCTGAGAAGATATTTGATAAAAATCACCCTAGAAACAATATACCTGAAAGAATAGAGGATAATATATGATGGAACATTGGAGTAAAAATAAAATAAGTGAATGACAAGGCCATTTCACTGAAAGAAAAAGGAAACATAACACTCCCCCCCCCAAAAAAATGGTGTACCCGAACAACATCAAATTTTCACCAATTTAATGAAACATCAGAAAGACAGATCATGTATATTTTCTCAGGTTGCCGGATGCAAAAAACTAAACCGTGTCTCTCCCTATGCACTTCAATTAATCAGTGAAATCTGTGTAGACTATTTATCAGATTATCTGGTGTGACCACAATTCATTATCTTCTGATACAAAGGAAGTGTTTGAAAGTATGAACTGAGATGCAGCTTCTGATATTCATTATCCAGAAGGGAAATTCATGTTGTGGTAACTTTCCTGTTGCCTTCTGGGTCAATCTGAATTACAATCTGGAAGTATCTGGGGATCACAAACCATTGTGTGGTATAAAACCTTTATATTAAGGACATTAAGATTTTTTTTAAAAAAATATACTTTAGACTACAATAAAAATTAAATGTTTAAATCTATTAATCACAATGACAATTAAGCTATCTGATCAAATCTGGTTGTATAGTGTTTCAATGTTCCTTATGCATTTTGGTTGCTCAGAAATTCTGAGGAATGGGCCCACTGTAGTATTATTGCTGAAGAGGCAACAAATTGTCCACCTTCAGCAAGAGTGTGAGAAATCTGTCCTAGGGTTCCACCAGGCTAATGCACTGCTGATATCCAATATGAAGAGCAAAGGGTAGAGTAAGATTTATTTTTTTTATTCCCAAACCCCAATAGAGCATCATGATAGTTTTATTTCCTTTCAAGGTTTCCATCTCTACCATCGGTTTCCACACTTCATGCCAGAAAACTGTCTCCACATTGCCATGGGTGTTTTGGTTGGTGGGATTATTTTTGGCACCAAACACAAATCTCCACCAGTTATGACTACCAGTATTTATTTCTTATACCTCCTTCCACCCATTATCCTTGAAGGAGGCTATTTTATGTCCACCCGCCCCTTTTTTGAAAACTTTGGTTCAATTCTTTGGTGGTCTGCAATGGGCTCCCTCATAAATTCCTTTGGCATTGGATTATCAATTTATGGAATTTGCCAGATCATACCTTTTGGCCTCAAGGATGTGAATCTGCTTGACAGCCTGTTATTTGGCAGCATGGTCTCAGCAGTGGATCCAACAGCTGTCTTAGCTGTCTTTGAGGAGATGTCTGTCAATGAACAACTTTACATGATGATATTTGGAGAATCCTTATTAAATGATGGGATAACTGTAGTAAGTATGTTACAACTTTTTGTAAAAACTGAGCTTTTCTAATGCACATGTGTATACATTTCTCTCTTTCTTCCAAGGAGGACAAGGCAACCCATATCGTTCCTATTTTGTTATTTCAATAATCTTTTGAAATAGGCTTAAGCTAACCCATATATTTGGTGGCTAATCAAGGATTAGAACCGGTGCCCTTGTCAAATGGAGTCTAGTACCCTTGCTTGGTGAACAGTGAAAAACAATACTGTCCAGATTTAAGCTCAATCTGCCAAGTTTACAATCAAACTACCAAATGTACATTCATTGTATTGTCTTTTGAAAACTTTAATTACAAAGATCATGCTGACTTTATAGCTCAAGAACAGCAGTGACTGAGATCCTTAATTAAAACAATTAAGCAACAAAACATGCCTTAGCTTTTACAGTTTGGAATTAATTTACAGCTAACCATTTCATTAAGAATTAAGAACTATAGTGTTTATCTCCTACCAACTAAGAATTCAAATCTCATATTTTTATTATCAAGTAATGATTCTCACTAGGGATTCAAACTATGCTCATTGATACCATTGTTAATTGAGATTGCTTTGAGTACAGTCATCTGAATCAATCACTGTAGCATGAAGTTCTCTTAAATCAACATTTTGGAACATAATCTACCAGTAAATACTTTTTTAAACATCTGAAGGGGGGGGGGCTGAGAGAGAATGATTGGCCCAAAGTAACCCAGCTAGCCTCCATGCAGAAAGGAGAGTTTTCTTGCTCTTTAAGGATTCTTAAATAATGTGCTATGACACATTATTCCTTTAATAAATTTATTCCTTTAATAAATTCCCAAGTCTTTATAGTCTTTTGGAAGCTCAACATGGTAAAGGAAAACTGAGTATCTCCAGACAGTCTGATCCATGGAAGAGAACCATCACTGAGAAAACTCAACTCTGAGTCCTTATAGATGGCATTCCTCAGTAGCCCTCTTGATCATTTTATTTTATTTATTTATTTATTTATTTATGAGACTTATATACCGCTTTAAGTGCAAGCACTCTCTAAGCGGTGTACACCAATAAGCAATGTATATATATATTTACATTGCCCTCAACAATCTGGGTCCTCATTTTACCTACCTCGGAAGGATGGAAGGCTGAGTCAACCTTGAGCCGGTGAGATTTGAACCGCTGACCTGCTGAACACAGTCAGCTAAAGTGGCCTGCAGTACTGCACTCTAACTACTGCGCCACCTTGGCTCTTAATAATTTAGAATTATTGGGCTGGGTTTTTTGTTTTTTGTTTTGGCAAACATATGAAAGTTGTTTGCTACTGTCTTCTTCCAGGACCTATTTCAACTTCCTAGTCTAATCCATAGCTTCTGATATTCCTCCTACTTTCTCATCCAAATTTTATCTAAGATCAACCCTACCTTGTTTTCAAGCTTAGACAAATTTGCCAGCTGAGGCAGTGAGAATACGATAGTGCGTCTCCAAGTACTCTAGCTTATATCATAGTAAATTATTTAGAGCTGAGTGTTGCAAATAAAGAGTAATTTACTCATTATTTGGTTTATTTTGTTACAATGTTTGCATTCGCTAGTAACAAAGTCCCCTGAGGACCTTACAACAATAAAGCATTGATATCCAGTATAAAAGTAATACAACGGTAAAAAGGCAAACTCACATTTTAGAATGTAAATAAAAACCTGAGTTACTGTATATCTACCATCAGTACAAATTTGCAGTATCCAGCACAGGTTGGGTTTTTTTTTTTTTTTTTTTTTAAAAAAACAAACCTTCAAATGGTACAGTGGATGTAGATGGTAACAAAAAAAAAAAAAAAAAATACAGAAAGCATCAGAGGAGTATCTTTGGAATGGATTTTCTATGACCAGAATGACAGCAGCAAAGTTAGCTTCACAAGCTGACTAAAAACAAAGCTAGCAAGAGCAAAAATGCTTCAATCATTCATTCATTTATTTTAAAATATACAGATCACTCATTTAGCACGCATGCCTGCTTCCTAGCAAAGGATACAAATGTATTTCATGCTTTCTATGTATTTAGTATCTTTCATGTCTAATGTAGCAGCAGTTGAAAAAATACTTGCATCCTTGATGTCTCTGAACATGACTAATTTATGACTGATGATGATTTTGAAACAATCTGAATTAAAGATACCACTAGTAGGAGAGAATGAAATACATATAAATATAGCTGAAATCTCATGCCTAGGTGGTGCCATACAATTAAATTAGACCTAGTTTTATTCTCAGGTGTTTGTATTATTTTTAACAGAACAGAATAACAGAATTGGAAGGGACCTTGGAGGTCTTCTAGCCGACCCCCCTGCTCAAGCAGGAAACCCTATATCATTTCTGACAAATGGTTGTCCAATCTCTTCTTAAAAGAGATTGGACAACCATTTTTAATTTTTTTTAAGTTTATTTGAATTTCTTTGCTACATTAGGACACTGAATGATGGGAGGGGAAATTGTTTTTCATAATTAATTGTTTATTTAATGGAGGTGGCATCTCCCTGAAGAGCATCTCCTGCACTGTCATAGCTGCTTTAAAGGATAATGGCAATGAGCATCTCTAGGGAGAACTAAGGATGAAATGTTTTGTTTCTTTCTCCTGTGCAGGTCCTATACAATATATTCATTGACTTTACCCAGATGCATAAATATGAAACAATTGAATCTCTTGACATTCTAGCTGGCTGTGCTCGCTTTTTTGTAGTCAGTCTTGGAGGGCTGCTGTTTGGCATTGTCTTTGGATTTGTGGCAGCTTTTATGACTCGATTCACCCAAAACATTTCTGCCATTGAACCTCTCTTGGTCTTCATGTTCAGTTACCTGTCCTATTTAACCGCAGAAACACTTTACATATCTGGCATCTTGGCGTAAGTAAAACTTGCAATGTTCATTTTCGTAGCTGGCAACCTCTTATTAACTTAGTATTTCCTAGTTTTACACCCTTGACTAATTGCCTTGGCTGATAAGAAAGAATATTTGAGGAACCACAAGGCTTTAGGCACCAGGCAATGATTAATTTAAACAAAGGACTTTTAGGCTTTCCTTCCTTTGATAATAATGAACAGCATACAGTACTGAATTACATTTTGTTAAGTGCTGCTTATGTCAAGAGCAGGGATTATCTTCATACTGGATGCTTTTTCTCAAACTGGAGTGATTTCTGCTGTTAACAAAGTTTCATGATAAAGTCCAGGAGAAATGAGGTTACAGAGCTCCATTCATGAACAGACTTTTGGAATGGCAGCAGATTCTGTAGCTTTTTCAGGACCAAGGATTATACTTAAGACTGTGAACAGTGCATATTAGGACATAGTCATGTTTGATTTTGATTCATTTAAACTATTTTAGTTAATTTAAATAAATATATAACATGATCAATCTTTTTCATGGATTTAACTACAGGTAGGCCATGACTTACAACCACAATTGAGCCCAAAATTTATGTTGCTAAGTGAGAAATTTGTTGAGTTTTTACCACTTTTCTTGCCACATTTGTTAAGTAAATCACTGACTTCCCCTTTGACTTCGCTTGTCAGAAGGTTGAAAAACATGATTACATGACCCCGGGACACTGCAATCGTCATAAATGTGAGTCAGTTGTCAAGCACCCAAATGTAAATCATGTGATCCTGGTGATGCTGCAACAGTCATAAATGTGAAAAATGATCATAAGTCACTTTTTTCAGTGCTGTTGTAACTTTACACAGTCACTGTTGTAAGTCAAGGACTACCTGGTTTTTCTTTCATTAAACATGACAAGATGATAAGAAGTTGGAGTGGTCAGGGTGTCAGTTGTAGATCTTCTGCTAAAGAATGGACAAAATTAATTGTGCCAACTGGCTCTCCCCCTGTGGTGGACAACCCGGAGACTGGTTTCCCATTTAGATAGCCTTAGCATCAGCAATGTATTGAAATAGCAGTTATCCTTTGGTGCACTAGTGAAACAGAGTTATTGTAGATCATTCTTCCTCTTTGGATACTTTCTGGAACCTCTCCATCCTCTAATCTCCCCTACCCTCCACAACAATGCACAACTATACAACAATACATATGGCAAGTGACAGGAACTCTGTTCTTTATCTGATTGTCTCATGTTTTATTTTTCTTAAAATATTTTTTTTTCTTGGTTTCTAAGTACCTAGAGAACTGTATGCTATGGGACTGCATACAATGGCCATAAATAATCAGACACTGAATCAAGCCTTCTGTTGGCCTCCAGATGTGACATCCAAACTATTTAGAGAATCCATAGCCATAAATATTGTAAGTGGTAACTTCCCTACATCTGGAGATCAGAGTGTTAGGGAAGCTGCTATACTACATAGACCTTAGCCAAAAGTCTGACAAGCAATTAATAACACTATAATCTGGAAGTTGTATTTTAGAGGATATGTGTTTTACTGCCCTCTAATTTTCAGGGTTCTTTACTAGAGGATGCATAATAATTGCATGCCCACAGAGCATGCCCAATCCATGCTGATTTTTTTTTTTTGGTGGGGGGAAGAGCAACCAATTCCCAGTGTATGATTTATTTATTTATTTATTTATTTATTTATTTATTTATTTATTCATTCATTCATTCATTCATTTATTCATTCATTCATTTATTTATTTATTTTAATGGATATCTATTTCTGCAAATCTCCATGTTGTTCTAAGCATGTTCAGAATTTCCTGTTGTTTCTCATTGTCCCCTTTTGTCCCCAATTCCAATTTTTGACTGAGAGCATAAAATAACACTCATGATGAATGTAGAAATCTGCCATTTTTACAAGAATTCTCTTTTCATGTCCCCCTGTTTCCAGTGGTTCTTACTCCTTTTCTTCGATGTTTATGGCTCAACAGGATAACAGCCTGTGCAGTGACAATGAAGAAATATGTGGAAGCCAATATTTCTCAAAATTCCTACATAACCATAAAATACTTCATGAAAATGCTAAGCAGTATCAGTGAGACCTTGATCTTTGTGTTCATGGGAGTGTCTACAGTTGGTCGGAACCATGAATGGAACTGGGCTTTCATTGGCTTCACCCTGCTCTTCTGCATGCTTTGGAGAGCACTAAGTAAGTTGCATGGGCAACCTGAAAACAAACTGGATAAAAGGCATTGCTAGCTGAGACAAAAAGTAGGAGGAAGAGAATGTAAAACAGAAAGGGAAATGTTGGGACTGTTCAGATCTGACTGGTCTAATCAGTTTAACAAAGACTTCAGTTATACTATGTTGGCTAAGATAGACTGAGGCATAATTTACTTTGCTGAGATAAAGTATTACCTATAGAACTCTGGATATATTGCTTAAGGCAGGATACACAAACTATGTTAGGTCCTTCATCACTCTACAGTATTCTTTATTTGGCTTGAATAGTTTGCATAACATAAATGTTTCCAGATCTATTATAGATTAAGGGTTTGTTTGTTTTTTTGTTTCCTAGGTGTGTTCTTGCTGTTCTCCATTTGCAACAAATTCCGCACTTACAAATTTACTCTCAAGGATCAACTTATTGTTACCTATAGTGGGCTAAGAGGAGCCAGTAGCTTCTCCCTTGCATTTTTGCTTCCTGCAACTCTGTTCCCTAGAAAGAAGATGTTTATCACATCTACTATTGTGGTGATATACTTTACTGTTTTCATTCAGGTAAGGAGAACATTTCATCACAAAGTATCAGTGCATTTTTCACATATTAGAAGAAAATTTTATTGGAGGTCTGTTTCCCCTGAAGATCTTCCTTATCCATTCATCTAACTTGATCCAGTGTTCTTACAAAAATGGACTTGTGATTTTGTGCATATGAGTAAATGCATCATACTGGTAAAAATGGTTCTTTTAATACCAGGGCCGTTTCCCCTAGAAGCTATTTTGGCATGTGAAATAATCAGGAGGTAGAAGTATGCTAATAATACAGGCATCTCAACCATACTGTTTAGTTGCACAGTTTAATGGTTGGATTTCTTCTTTCTTCTTTCTTTGTTTCAAATGAAGGGAATTACCATCAGACCACTGGTAAAGTACCTAGATGTTAAGAAGACCATTAAAAAAGAATCAATAAATGAAGAGATTCATGTGCGAGTAAGTTGAATTTTATATTATTAATTGACAAGAGAAACATAGGAAGATTATAAATTATTGACCACTCTTAATGGTTTTGGGTCTCCAAAGATCTAGGAATAGCTATCCATTTTTAATCTGAGATTTGCAATTGGGATCAGCTGTCTCAAAACATGTACTGTACTACTTTAAAAATTGAATCTTGATAAACTAATAGTTCTTTTGACCTTTGGGAATTCCCCTGCTTCTTCATGGCTGATGGGAACAGCTGCAGTTTTGCTTTAATGCAGTCTTTCAGACCTTTTGTTCTATTTTATTTTGATTTAGTGTTTTGGGCACAGATTTTGACTACAGAAGCAAGGGATAAGAAAGAGATATTTCAGCAGATGCAATGTTTCATGTGTTGAGATTTTGGAAGAATTATTATTTGGTGATGCTAGTGCCAAATAAAGCCACAGTTCTAAGGGTCCTTATGCTTTATTCTGGCTTTTATCTATACAGTATTTGAAGAATAACATAGGATAAATGCTTTTACTTATTACCCGGAAGCTATGTTCATATTGGGGGGATGCTCTGTTGAACATAGCACTTCAGAATAAATATTATTTGTGAGTTTTGGTTTAGTACAGTGGTGGTGAGCCTATGACACGTATGCCAAAGCCTGCACTCAGAGCCCTCTCTGTGGGCACGTGTGCCATGCCCCGGAGATGGCAACCGTCCCTCTTCAACCAGCCGCCCACTAACTTGCCAAGGTCCCACATGGCTGGATGCATCCCAGCACCTATGCGCTTGCTCGCCTCTGTGTGCAGAGGCCAATGGTGTCAGGCAGCAGCCGCCCCGGCCCCTGCCTCACCTTGGCCTGGGACAATGGCACCCCTGCCCTGCCTCACCTTGCCTCACCTCATCCCGACAGATGAGCCTCCTGCCCACCACCTCAACTGCCAGAGACCCCCTGGATCTCCCTCAACCCTGCCTGGACCCCCAGGCATCCCTTCCTACAAGCAACATTGAGGTGATCACCCCCACCTTGGCCACACCCACCCAATCTGCCACGCCCATCCAGTGGGCCATGCCTACCTGGCACCCGACAATATATAAGTGGGTTTTGGGTTACAGTTTGGGCACTTGGTGTCAATGCTGCAAATATTGTATATTCTTGCTTTTGACAATATGCAGAACTGTCTGGTATTTATGGGTTTAATACAGAGCAGAAGGGAATTGGGGGTAAAGCCCGGGAAAGAAAGAGGAAGAAAACCTTTGACCTTCACACTAATTGGATAATGTGATATATGACGGCTAATTTAGGGAGGGAACATGCTGATAATTTAACTGCTCAGAGGAAGAGAACTTAGATCCTACTATCCCTCTGTTGTGCCTGTGCTGACATTTTGTGACAATAAAAGACTTTTAGGGAAATAAATGCCTGGAAGTTCTTTGAAATGTTTCATTAGCTGGAACCATAACAACATGCTAGGATCTCACATTCTTTTCAAACGACCTGGGGTCCCGAATTCCATCCACTGCCTCTAGGCTTGAGAGGACTGATAAAGATTCGGGGGAGATCTCATTATTGGAGAAAGAAAGATTGCCTGAGGCCAGCCCCGTGGCTGCAACAGTTCTCCCGGGGGGGGGGGGAAGCGACAGCCAGCAAGCCGGGGGAGAGAGGAATTTGGCAGATTTCCCAGCTGAGAGCAAAGACTTCAAAAGCAGAATGGACAGATAACGCAGTTGTGGGTGAGTCACTGGAAAGATTTCAAAACTCAGATATGAAAACCAGAAATCAATTCCTACAAAGTGAAACCTACAGCCCTTCCATTGCAGATGTCCCTGCCAGGGACTCCAGCCCTGAAGAGAGAGAGAATCCCAGTCTGAGTCCTCTGCAGCAATGGGGAGATTGGGTTTCCCAGCAGGTGGCTGATCCATGTCCTCTTAACTTGCCACAGCTAATAGAGGTCTTGCAATGCCTTGGGGTGGTACAGAAGCCAGGAGATCAGCAGCTGGTGGGAGAACAGCCACAGCAAAGAGATTACCCACAGCCCCCAAATGTGCAACTTCTGGGCATAAATCTGCAGCCAGGATGGGGCCAACAGCAACTGGGGGCACCACACCAACTGCAGAGAGCCCAGCAGCCATTGGACCAGCAACCAGGGTGGGGCCAGCCGCAACAGCCCCAGTGGGGGCCACAGCAGCCCATGTTCACACCACAACCTTCAATGGGGACCCAGAGAAGCTGATTTTTTTCCTCAACCAAGTGCATTCTCACTTGAATCGCTGGGCCTATCTCTATCCGGAACCAGGGGCCATGGTCGATGTCATTGCGTCCAACCTGGAGGGAGAAGCATCTGAATGGCTGAACAATCTATATAGCGAGCAAGCTCCCGAATTGGAAGATCCCCACCTATTTCTCTTAAGACTGAGAGAATGATTTGAAGACCCATCCATTGGCCTCAAAGCAGCAGGACAAATTCACAAAATAAAACAAGCCGGGAGGCCTGCCCTGGAGTACGTGTGAGAATTTCACAAGATAGCAGGTCAAATAGAGGGGTGGCCTGAGCAGTCTCTCATCCATTATTTCATCGAGGGATTAGACAATCACCTCTTTCAGGCCTGCATCTATCGAGAAGTACCTGATTGGCTACAGGAGTGGTACCAGACAGCCGTGAAGCTAGATGTTAAGCTCTCTCACTATAAGAAGCCTCCTCCACATGAACCTGAGCAGCAACCAGAGCTACCCGGACTGCAATCACCTCCACGAAAGCCTTCAACTACTACAAGGCCTGAGAGACCCAGGCCACCTACACACCCTTCCTTCGAGTGTTTCCAGTGTGGACAAGGAGGACATCGAGTGGCTACCTGTCCAGTCCCCTACCCCCGACTGCAGAGCAGACCAGAACCAGCAATGCGAAAGAAACCTGCTCAGTGGCTAATGAGAGAAAAATCCAATTGACTCATGAAGGAACCTGTCGCCCTGGTTACACCCCCCACACAAGAGGATGCCAGGACTCCAGGTGGACCCCCCCTGCTCTACCTTTCTTTGACAGTGATGAAGAAGGAGAGAACGACCCAATGGTGAGTAGACAAATCCCATCTTTTTCACTGGCCGCCAAATTTATAATCCCTAAGTCTGGGGCACAAATGGACTTAAACGTACTAATTGATTTGGGATGCACCCACTGCATTATTAGTTTAGCGTTTGCCATGAAAATGGGCATACAGGCAAAACAGCTTTCCAAACCGGTGAGGTTTGAGCAAGCCGATGGGAGGGACTCTTGTCACACAATTAACCGAGCCTTTACACCTAGAAATAGGTGCACACTGGGAGTTTATTTGCTTCCTGGTGGCTTTGAAAATGACTGAGGCGGAGATCCTAGGACTAGCCTAGTTAGACAAATGGAAGCCATTTATCTGGTGGGAGAAAGGAATGAGAACTGTGAGACTATCTATAGGGCCTGATCCCCCCATTGATTCAACAGATGTTTCTGGGCATCTTAGGCCACCCAATGAGTGAGCACACATGGCCGCCTCACTGTCTCCAGGCAAACCACTCATCCCCAAGGAATACTGGGACCTGGCGGAGGCATTTAGTGAAAAGGAATGTGACGCCCTACTCCCTCACAGACCAATGACTGCTCCATCGAACTGGTGCCCGGAGCCAAACTCCCACGACTGAGAATGTATGCCATGACCCCCCTCGAAATGGAGGAGATGCAGCTTTATGCCAAATTGTCAAAATGTGAATTTCACCAAACTCAATTAGACTATCTTGGCTACAGAATTTCCAACGAGGGTATTGAAATGGATCCACTCAAGGTGAAAACTATAATTGAATGGCAGCCCCCAAGGACTCGCAAACAGCTCCAGAGCTTTCTGTGTTTTGCCAACTTTTATCATCAATTCATCCCTTCTTTTGCCAAGATTGCCCAACCTCTCACAGAACTACTCAAAACAGGCAAAGGAGGAGGGAAGCCACGACCGGGACAACCACTAGCATGGACAATGGGCTGTCAAACAGCTTTTGAGAATTTAAAGAGACTATTTGCTGCTGAACTGGTTCTAAAGCACCCCTGCCCAGGGGAACCCTTTGTGATTCAAGCCGATGCCAGCGATGTGGCAGTTGGAGCTGTGTTACTGCAAAAGAACAAAAACGGGATCCTGCAACCCTGCGCCTACACCTCTAAGAAATTTACTGAGAGTGAGCGGAGATGGGCAATCTGGGAGAAAGAGGCCTTCATGATTCGATGGGTGCTATTAAACTGGTGACACTATCTAGAACAGTGGTTCTCAACCTGTGGGTCGGGACCCATTTGGGGTCGAATGACCATTTCACGGGGGTCGCCAAACCATGCTGTCCGCCATTTTTTTCCCTTTTCCCTAGCTGTCCTACTCCCTCTTATTGGTGGCCACATCCACTTGGGGGTCACCACAACATGGGGAACTGTATTATGGGGTCACGGCATTAGAAAGGTTGAGAATCACTGATCTAGAAGGTAGCAAGGTGTCATTTGAGGTATGGACAGATCACAAAAATCTAGAAGCACTAAAAACTCCCCGCAAATTGTCCCCAAAGCAAGTACAGTGGGCACAGTACTTTAACCGCTTCAACGTCACTCTAAAGTACATATCAGGAGGAAAGAACTTCCTAGCTGATGCGTTATCCTGGTTACCCCAATACAAAAGTGAGCGAGAGGAGGTTAACGAGGCAATTATTCCCAATCCACAAACTACCACTCAACTTATACCTTGCGGGTCCCCAATCCTGATGACCCTGGAGCGAAGAAAATAAAACGAGAGCTCCTCACCGACCAATGATTCAAAGATAATCAAGCCTCCCTAACATGCAGGGGGGAAACTATATTTACCAGAAGCACTCCATCTTACTGCTCTCAAACACAGCCATGATGTAAAACAGGCTGGACACTTTGGATATTTGAAAACCCTACACCTCACCCGCCGGCAATTTTGGTGGCCGGGGCTGAAAAAGGATGTGGAAAACTATGTAAAAAGTTGTACTGTATGTGCCACAATGAAAAGAATCCCGGGGAAAACCCCTGGGTTACTGCAACCCATGGCAGACCCTTCTCAACCATCGGAAGAAATAGCTATGGACTTTATAGTAGACCTACCTGAAAATAGTGGAAATATTGTCATCTGGACTGTAATAGACCTGTTCTCGAAGCAGGCTCATTTCATCGCCTGCAAAGGACTCCCATCTGCCCAACGACTGACCAAATTGTTCCTGAAACATATCTACCAGCTGCATGGCGCCCATAAGCAAATAATTTTGGACAGGGGGGTGCAGTTCACAGAGAAGTTTTGGAGAAGTGTTCTTAAATTAATTAGATCATCTCAAGGTTTATCATCTGCTTTTCATCTGGCCACCAATGGGGCCACAGAAGCTGCTAACAAAATGGTGGAGCAATATCTTAGATGCTACGTTTCTTACCAACAGATGAACTGGACTGATCTCCTCTCTTTTGTGGAGGTGGCGTACAGTAATTCTGTGCACAGCAGCACCGGCTACACGCCTTTCAGAATAGCCACAGGAAAAGAGTTCAGCCCAATACTTGAATATCCTCAGTTGCCCTCTGCTTCCCAGACACTTGATCAGTGGATGAGGGGATGGGAAGAAGTTTGGAAAAACACAAAAATTGCTTTAAAAAAGACTTTTGAAACCTATAAAAAGCAGGCTGATAGGAAGAAGGCTCCCCAAAGAACATTCCAAGTTGGGGAGATGGTTTACTTGTCAATTAAGTATTTATGACTCAAATTGCCCAGCAAGAAATTGGGACCTAAATTCCTGGGGCCTTTCCCCATAGTAAGGATCATCAACCCGGTCACAGTAGAACTAAAACTCCCTAGACTTTTAGGGAAAATTCACACAGTCTTCCATTGTAGCTTGTTGAAGCCTTATCGGGGCTCCACTTTAAGATCTCCTCCGAAGAAGGCACCTGGGCCCCTCGTAGTCGTGGGACAGACCCACTATGAAGTGAAACGTATTCTTGACTCTAGAATCTTCAGAGGGAAATTGAAGTACCTAGTGCAAGTGAAAGCTGACAGATTCGTCAAAAGGTTTCATGTGAAACACCCCAACAAACCGAAATATAACCCTTAACATAAGCTTTTGTTTACTTTACAGGATCTGTCCTTCTTGTAAGGGGGGTCGGATGTCAACACTGCAAATATTGTATATTCTTGCTTTTGACAATATGCAGAACTGTCTGGTATTTATGGGATTAATATAGAGCAGAAGGGAGGTGGGGGTAAAGCCCAGGAAAGAAAGAGGAAGAAAACCTTTGACCTTCACACTAATTGGATAATGTGATATATGATGGCTAATTTAGAAAGGGAACATGCTGATAATTTAACTGCTCAGAGGAAGAGAACTTAGATCCTACCATCCCTCTGTTGTGCCTGTTCTGACATTTTGTAACAATAAAAGACTTTTAGGAAAATAAATGTCTGGAAGTTCTTTGAAATGTTTCATTAGTTGGAACCATAACACTTGGTCTCTAAAAGGTTCGCCATTACTGGTTTAGTATATCCTATATTATAATCAAGGTAATGTAAAATAAATACTAAGAATTTACATTTTTCCATTATTCCATTATTTCTATTTACAGGATTCTGTTTTGAAACGAACTGTTATGTACTTACGTTAGGATACAAGAAATGTTTTAATTCATAGAAACTGCTTCTGGACTTTGTGCTTGAGGTGGAAAAAATTAAACTTTGATTTTGGGTTTTACCAATTGATAGGTTTGTTGTTATAGAAATGGCTAGTTTATACTACAAGTAATCCTCAATTTACAAGCACCATAGAACCCAAAATTTATGTTGCTAAGTGAAATGTTTGTTGTGAATTTTACCCCATTTTAGAACTTTTCTTGCCACTGTTGTTAAGTGAACCACTGCAGCTATTAATTTAGTAACACAGTTGTTATGTGAATTTAGTAACACAGTTGACTTTGCTTGTCAGAAGGTCACAAAAGGGGATTACTTGAACCTGGGACACAACAATGGTCATAAATATGAAGCAGATGCCAGGCATCTGAATTTTGATCATGTGACTACAGGGATGCTACAATGTTGTGTGAAAAATGTCATAAGTTACTTTTTTCAGCACCATTGTAACTTTGAACAGTCACTAAATTATAAGTCAAGGACTACCTGTACTGTGTAAAAGGAAAAAGTTGAGGTTTGATGTTATTACCTTATTCTACTGCACCAAAGGGAATCGGAAGTCAATGCCTTTTCTTCCTCTTTTCCCTTTTCCCTATATTTTTCCCTTCCCTTTTCCCACCCCTATCTTTCCTATTTTCTTTTGCATTTTTGTATTTTATATTATAAATTAATAACAATAAAAAAGAAATGTTTTAATTCATAATAAAATGTTTTATGTCTATAGTTGATGGATCATTTAAAAGCTGGAATTGAAGATATATGTGGACACTGGAGCCATTATCAACTGAGAGACAAGTAAGGATGTGCCTAGCACTGTTAGTCAAAATAAAATAACTGGATAAAACTAAACTGAATAAACTAAACTAAAATTAAACTAACTGGGAAAACTAAAGAAAGGCATTAGCAATGTTGATTTAATTTAAAGCAGGATGGATTGGAATAATTCTTCACTCGGCATTTCAATATGTCATTTTGCATATTTACTAGATTCTTTGTTTAAATTATTAAATAACATTTTTCTTTTACCTTGATTTTCATATATTTACCCATAAGTAGAAGTTTATTCTCATATTACTGAATGATAAATGGCTGTTAAGACCTGGCAGTGAATGAAAGAATTCGGTATTTGCCTATTTCTCAGAATCAAAAGTGTGCGTCTTTCTTTTATCCTCTTTCTCCCATAACAGCGGATTGATTGGCCTTTTCTTATCAGTTTAACTTAACCCAAGATAGGCTGCTGTAGGCCACACCCTTTATGCTGCTGTTGCTTTTTGTTTTTTGAAAAACTTGAGAACTCTTTGGATTTGTAAAGTAATTAATGCAGGAAGAAGTTTTGACATCCTGATTATTACTCTTACCAGATTTAAGAAGTTTGACAATAATTTTCTGAAGAAGATACTACTGCACAAACATCAGCCTAAATCCAGCCTTGTTTCTTTATACAAGAAACTGGAAATCAGACAAGTCATTGAAATGGTAGAAAGTGGGGCCATGACACCTAGGGCTTCCAAATCATCTTCTCTGTAAGTATGTTAAGAACCATTTGTTAGAACAATGTAAATATTTTGTTTAATCAAGGAATATAATGAACATGGACAACATATGGTTCTTCAGATGATTAATTCCAGTCAACATTGCCAATGGTGAGAACGGCTTTTGTAGCAGTTTAGCAACATTTGAAGACCACATTTGGAGGGGGCACCTTTGATAGTCAACTGATAGATAATCAGTAATTTGTAGCTGAACATGTGAATTGATGCTACTGAAAAAGATTAATATCTGAAATTAGACTTTGAGTATAAAACTTGATTGTGCTAAGGATTTTTCCTTAGATGAAAGGGATACTTTCACTGATATTAAGCTCTCGCAAGCCTCCATAAATTAGTTACTGTAGTTCCAGCCTGTTACACTCCAAATGCTGATGCACAATTACCATCAGTGGGTATCTTTAGAGAGGGGCAACAGAATGAAAACAATGTAGCATTATGCTGCATGCTCCAGTTCATGAGACATTCATGTGGCATTGCAATAGATGCGGGGAAAAAAGGTAGGCCTGCATCATAATGTTGCTTTTATTTGAAACCACTGACTCCCTGTAGATGTAGACAATTACTATAATCTCCCAACCAAGACAAAATGAGATGTTTTTGTGATCCATGTCTCCCAAAGAAGACAAAATAATTTTGGATCCTAATAAAGTCCATATTAAATCTACATCAGTAATGGGCAACGAAAGACAGAGCAATTTTTCCTTTTCTTAGCTGATTGCATTATGGTCCTTCTCAAGGAAGCAAGAAAGACGGTCTCTAGACCCATAGACAAAGACTATTATGTTGTTTTTTTTAAAAAAGCAATTTAAAAAATGCAAATAAAACTGGAATGTCTTAAAATCATAGAAACAATTTAGGGGGAGTTAATTTATTCTGTGTTTGTTGCATAACAAATAACAAACAGTCCTTTATTGAAAGCATTGTAAATATTTAAAACTGTTTTAGACTAAGGTGATCCATCTGTGGTAATCCTGTCCATATTTCAGTGTTGCCTAAACTGGTTGCTGACAATTGAGATGAGGAATCTCCTCTCTGCCTTCTAAACCCGCTCCCTGATCCCAAAATAATGCTGCTTCTCAAAAGCTAATGGTAGTAAAGGGCATCATTATCTGGTGGTCATTGTGCATCAAGATCACTGCACCTAGTGATTCTTTCTTATCTTTTCCCAGATTACAGGATCTGGGAATAAGGCATTTCCTTCTCTCAAGAAACTCTAATGAATTTATGGTGTGAGAGATCTTTTCTATTTGGAAGGAAGATACTGTACATGATTTTTAAAATAAGTACAGAAAAAAGGTAAAAGGTCAATCAGATTTAGGTGCAAAAATACAGATGATGATAGACATGGCAGCAAAAGATATAAGAAAATATTAACTCTTTACTGCAATCCAAAGGTCAACTAGGTTTTTGCAGCCTAGATCTGATAGCCCTTGTTAGATTAAGGAGGAGCAAGAACCAACAAAACTTCATCTGGTTCTTTAGTGTATGCTGAGACATCAGAGATCTAAGCATAGATTCCTGTATTTACATAATCTCTGATACATTTAAATAGAATAGGTTTGCACATGGCACAGGCATACACAATTTAGTTTGCACAAGCCCACATCATACTATTGGCATGCAGATTTTATTGGAATACCTAATGCATGATGTTGATTGACTAGATGTTTCCATGAATATGTGCTAGGATTAAATTCATTTTAAAGCATTATAGTGCAATAAAATCTGAAAATAGGTAACAATAATGTGTTGCTTTTGTATTCTGAGGTTTACACAGCTATGTATGTACATACTTAAAGACACACATTCAATATGCTTTAAAAAAAGCATAGTACATTTGAAATTATCATACTAAAATAATAAATAATAATAAACATGGGATAAAATATTTAAGAAGAGACCATTGATTGCTCAAGAAAAATTAGAGTCTACTTTAAAAGAAAACATCATTGAAGTAACCATTTTTATTTAACTGTAAGATTTTCACTAAATCTGACACTTAAACAGTAGAGTATAATCACAAGGAACACTTCAATTAAAAAAATATGGGCTTGTTGGTTAGTTTCTCCTTTGTTTTACTTGAAACAGGTGCATAGCACATAAGTCTATCTGTAAAAGGAGTGGACAGAAACCATGCCTTTTTTCCCTTAAAGAACTTTTATCAAGTTCCTTGGTTAATAGCTAACCTCATGAATGAGCTTTCCCTTTTGTCTTGATGTTTTAGCCAACTCAGAAATGAGTTTCATATAATGATAACAGAGTTGTACTCACTGCTCCCTGAAACTGTGTTTCCAGACAGAGCTTTCACAATTACAGTGAATCCCTAATACCGACAACTTCTATTTCCTGACCTCCAATTTTTAGTGCTCTCTAATCTATCTTTGTACTACTAAATTTCCATTAAAGAAACAAAACACTTTCATGTTTTTAGGAAACTCCTGTCTCTGGAATATTGTAATAATATTTTACTGTGAAGATTGGCCAAAGCTAGAATGTTGTTTTCACTCAAACAAAGGACAACACGAGGCCTTATTTCTTATTCCATGTGTACTATTCTGGATTGATTATTATATTGAAATTATTCAGCTTCAACAGTGGAGATAGCAGGAATAAAGAACTTAGTATAGGCTAATTCATGATATTACCCAATAACTTGCCGCTTTTCTATGTTCTCCAATATCTCTGTATCTTTATTCAATAGCATGGCTGGTTCTGTTTTTAAAGCAAGTTTCTTTAGCATATGCAATTATAGGTTTGAGATAACAAGACTAAAATAGTAGACTTGTTCATTTTTCTAGGAAAAAATAAACCTGAACTCTATCTAGAACTTTGATTGTCAATATGGCATATCTTAAGTCCAACCATGTTACTTTGAGAACTAGGTCTTAGCATGAAAAAAAAAAATCTGTTTAGAAGCATTCTATAATTATGTAGGTTTTAAAAGTCAAAGTTTCAGTGAGTTACTTTATTTCCCAACTAGACTACGTCTAAATTACATTTGTGGTATTAGTAGCACTGGTTGAGAATTTTTGTTCTAGAAGAATTATGAAATATTTTGTTTGTATTTGTTTATAATATCCAGGATGTCTGATGATGTAATTTAAATTCTATTAATTTCAATATAGATTTTTTAAAATTGAGCTTAGTAGATTTTCCCCCTTTATTTATACCATTGATCCCTCAGCTTGATTCATCAATTAAATTAACTACATTTTAAAGTAGTTCAACATTGATTCTAATATGTTGACATAAACACTTCAAGAAAGAAACTTTATGTGTGTATGATACACACACTAATGGTAATGGTTCTACTTGCATTTATATGTGGTTTATATAATGAATTTATTCTTTATACTTTACATCTCTATAAATTATTTTATTTTTTACTAAGAAGACTGCTGTAGCCAATAGTGATAATACTCGAATATATATATGTATCTTGCAAAGAAATTAAGCAGTTTGTTCCATTGATTTACAAATGACTTCTTGCCATCCTTTGTTAGGAAAAGCAACTTACAGATAACAATAACTGATAACAGAATGTAGGCTAAACTACTCTAGGGAAATAATGATTGAACTTTTAGCTTAGTCAAAATAATATTTGTCTTCATATTTGTTTGCAGGAGGTGCAGGAATGAAAGAATACAGAAACTTTCCCCTAAAGATGTGGAATCTATGCAGAACATGCTGGCACATAATCTGTATCAAGTGAGGCAAAGGGTGTGTGCTTTCAATTCTGATAACCTGTTCCATAGTTACCGGAAGAAAAGATCATGTTTGCTAAGGTATTTCATACCTTAGCAAAAGTTAGTGGTGGCAAAATTGCTGGGAGTGCAAGCTATGATTGTGGCCGAAGGGCAGAACAATATTAAGAAAAGACTGGGTCATTGTTTTTAATGAATTCATTCTAATACTTCTGATGTGTCTTTGTAGGACAGTTGTAAGATCACTTTCACTGATACTTGTGCTTGCAGAAAAAAGGAAAAGAAAAAAGGAAGGAGTTTAGAATTGCCTTCTCAAACATAGATTTATTTTAAAAAATGACAATTAGGTTGTTAAAGTTCAGGTTCAGGTTTGAAATTTGCTCCTTACAAATTTTTGAAAGGCCTTCAAGACCTCATTATGTTTGGAGTTACCAGAGGGCCAATGATTCTGTCATAATGGTTCCATTGCTAAGGGAGCCATTTTTATTCTCCCTTCATCCAAGGCTAATATTTTGGTTATTATGCTATTTATTACTGTGACTTTTTAGATTTTTATCAGTTTTACTTTGGCTGTTTTATTTATTGCTATGTGCTATCCAGACTCCTCTTTGAGAAGTGATTATATAAATTTGATTTATAAATAAATAAATACAAGAACATAAAAGAGCATGACAGAATCAGGCCAAAAGGCTGTCTAATCTGGCATTCTGTGTTACAGAGAGGGAAACCAAATCCAATAGAGGTCAAATTCTTCTTGAGAGCTATCTTCTGGCATTTGAGATATGTTACCTGTAATTTAAAAGTACTAAACAACTACCAGGACTAGTAGCCTGTCAGAATCCAATTATATTTCATCTTTAATTATCAAACATAGAAACTCCCAATTCTGCCTTCTCTGGATTCTGCCATAAGAGGGAGAAAAGGGGGAGAGCAAAGGGGCTTTATGGCCCTCACTTCCTTCAGCACACTTCAAAGGACTGAATGTGTGTTTATTGTGGCCTCTAAGCTTTAACATATCAAAGAAGAGTAATTGCCTTTCATGTAGTTATCTGAAGTCTCCATCCAGACGGAAGAAGAAAGGGGATGGAATTGTGATACTTGAAACTATCACTGGAAGGGGGGTTGATTGGGTGGGACTACTGGGGAACCCCTTAAAACCTTGAATGGGAGAGCTTGAACCCCAAGTCCTGTCTAGCATGCCTGCAACCATTTTCTCTTAATAAAGGATTCCTGTTGGAAGAATTATTCCAAGAGTTCTGTCTTCTTAAGATGCAAAGTGGGGTGGGTCCTCACATTAGACAGGACTTGCAAAATTAATCCACCTGGAAGGAAGACCCTTGCCGGGGGATTTTGCAAAAATTTACCATGTCAGACAATGGAGCAAAAGAGGGGGAAAACTCCCTGGAAAGAGAGCCGCTGACCCAGTTGGAACCTTGCCAGATGTTGGGATCCGAGAGGCCAGATTCCTCAGGAGAAGAAGTGGTGGAGACACAGGACCACAAGCCTCGCTGGTCGATGGGCGTTGGAAAGAAAAGCGAGTGGGGAAAGGAATCAAGAAAAGTGACCCTGAGACGGGGGACCAAGCAACCAGAATGGAAGCAGGAGATGGAGAAATCCCTGCACGCAAGTGAAGAGGGAGGAAGCTGGGCACCGTACTCAGACTGGATCCTAGAGAAAGCTATTGACCTGATGAAGAGAACTCTCAGCTCCCTAGGAGAGGAGAATACTGAACCCTACGGCGCCCCAGTTCCTGGAGCCGCAAAGGGAGAGACACCGAGGGGGACGTGGAACCTGCAACCCCAGGGACATCTACTGATCCAGGAGCTCCCACCCCCTACCGGACCACAGATGGCAATCTGGACGGAAGGCACTACCACCCACAACAGAGGCACCGATCCATTCCAAGACGTCCACCGTTGGAAGTGAAATTCAAAGGGGAGCCAACACGCTTGGGATTTTTCCTAACCCAAGTCCTCAGCTACATGGAGGAATATGGGCAGGATATTCCCAGCGACAAAGCCCGCATCCGGATCGTGCAATCTGCCCTGGATGGACCAGCTGCGGATTGGGTAGTGAACTTGCATGACTCCAATGCCCCAGAACTCAGTAACTTCAACCGTTTCATGTCCTCTTTGAGAAGACGATTTGAAGACCCCCTGGCTGATCGCAAAGCCCGTGAAAAAATAACAACGATGAGGCAGGGCAAACGCCCAGTGGCTGAGTATACACAAGAATTCCGGGCCATTGCCAGCAAACTGAATTGGCCAGAAGACATCCTCCTTGGCCATTTCAAAGACGGACTAAACTATGATCTATATGATGCTTGCCTACCCCGAGGGGACCCACATCGAACTTGAGGAATGGTACGTCTTGGCAGAGGAAGCAGAGATCGACATATTGAAGAGGCACCGCCGAGGAAAACAATGGAGCCGCCCCCCGCCTGAGCTGACACACCAACCGGTGAAATCATCGGATACAGCCAAGAAGCAAATGGGATGTTTCAAGTGCGGAAGAGAAGGGCATCGAGCTGTAGAATGCCGCTCAAAGGCCCCCCAGCACAACCCAGACAGATCCCCAATCAACAAACCCGGAAAGTATTCAGCTAAGCCAAAAGAAACGGCCATGAGAATGATGGAAATTGCAGAAACCCCCACCTCTGCTCACCAAGGGGAAAGGACTCCAGCCTACACCACAGGGCCGGTGGATGCCTCAGATGACAGCTCGGAGGGCGAACCCCTGGTAAGTGGATGCATCACACCCATCTTCAAAACAGTGACTATATTAATCCCCCCCATGCCCGAAGCTGTGAAGGTGAAAGCCTTAATAGACTCTGGCTGTACCCGCTGCCTCATTAGCCCAACACTAGTGGGGAATCTGGGCATCCCATCCAGGAGACTGGAACAACCAATCTCATTTGGCCAGCTAGATGGATCCATAGCAGGGGGGGTGCCAGCTACCCTAGCCACTTTGCCAATACATCTCTCCCTGGGCAACCATGAAGAGGACTTAACGTTTGTGGTGACCCCAGGTATGGAATGCCCAATGATTCTAGGGATGGAATGGTTGAAAAAATGGAACCCCTGGGTAAATTGGAGGACGACAGAAATCAAATTCCCGAAGGGGGACCCTATGGACTTAAAACCCCAAGGGAGGCTACCAGAATCAAGAATAGAAAAAGCATCCATAGGAGAGGAAAAAAGATTAACAGAAATACCAGAGGAATATAGGGACCTTGCTGAAGTCTTCAGTGAGGAGAGGGCGAATGAGCTTCCCCCCCACCGACCCACAGACTGTACCATTGAATTCAAGCCTGGGGCAAAACTCCCGAAGCCCAGATTATACTCCATGAGCCCAAAGGAGAAGGAGGAAATGGAAAGATTTATAAAAAAAAACCTGGAGAGAGGTTTCATTGAGCCAGCCAAGCCTAAAGTGGCTGCCCCGGTCCTTTTTAGAGAGAAGAAGGATGGCTCTTTACGTTTATGCGTGGATTATAGGGCCCTGAATACAATCAGTGAAAGCAACCTATACCCGCTGCCCCTCATGAAAGACATGCTGTCACACCTATCGAAAGGGAAAATTTTTCTAAACTAGACTTAAGGGAAGCTTACTATCGAGTAAGAATCAAGGAAGGGGACGAATGGAAGACTGCATTTAACTGCCCCATGGGGTGCTATCAATTCAAAGTCTTGCCATTTGGATTACAAGGGGGCCCTGCAGTCTTTATGCAATTAATCAATGACGTTCTAAGGGAGCACCTGTTTAAGGGGGTCCTTGTTTACTTGGACGACATTCTTATCTTTACCGAAACAAAAGAAGAACACGTCAAACTTGTCAGAGCGGTTTTAAAGAAGCTGCGAGCCGCTCACCTATATGCCAAACTCTCAAAATGCGAATTCCACCAGGAAAGGATAGACTACCTAGGCTATCGCATATCCCCACAGGGCATTGAAATGGACCCAGAGAAGGTCAGAGCAGTATTAGAATGGGCACCACCCCGCACAAGAAAGCAACTACAAAGTTTCCTGGGCTTTGCAAATTTTTACCGCCAATTCATCCCCTCATTTGCACAGATAGCCTTGCCCCTCACTAACTTACTAAAAACGAAGGGAACATCCTCAGTAAAACCTAGCCAGCCACTAAATGGACAATGGAGTGCCAAGCAGCGTTTGAGAGACTAAAGAGACTTTTTTCTGCCGAACCAGTACTAAGGCACCCAGACATGGACAAACCCTTCATAATACAGGCAGATGCAAGTGATGTGGCAGTGGGGGCTGTGCTATTACAAGAAAATGATGATGCAGTATTGCAACCCTGTGCATATACATCTAAGAAACTCACGGAAACAGAACAGCGCTGGCCCGTATGGGAGAAGGAGGCTTATGGGATACGTTGGGCATTACTCACGTGGCGACAGTTCCTGGAAGGCAACAAAATCCCCTTCCAGGTATGGACTGATCACAAAAATTTAGAAGCCCTGAAAACTCCCAGGAAACTCAATCCCAAACAAGCCCGCTGGTCCCAGCATTTTCACCAATTCCAATTTAAGCTCAAACATTTACCAGGAAGAAAGAACTTCCTGGCAGATGCACTATCTCGCATGCCCCAATATAACAGCGCACGAACCACAGACTCTAGACCAATAATGGCAGAGTCACAACTGGCAGCGCCAGTAACCACAAGAACCCAAGCCAAAATAAAACCACAACTGGACAGCCAAACTGGGATTGAATTCAGAAAAAGTTTGGAAACAGATGATTGGTTCCAGAAAAACAAACATGTGTGCACAATGAGAGACGGATTGCCTTGGGTAGGGGAAAAGTTATATATACCAACAACTCAAAGACTAACTTTCATGCAACTTTGCCATGACACAAAATCAGCAGGGCATTTTGGATTTGTAAAAACTTTACACTTAATTAAACGGCAATTTTGGTGGCCATCAATAAAAAAGGACATAGAAAGTTATGTTGCCAGCTGCCCAACCTGTGCATCAGCAAAGAGGTTGCAAGGGAAATCGCCAGGGCTGTTACAACCAGTGGCAAGTCCCTCAGCCCCCTGGAGGGAAATAGCCATGGATTTTATAGTGGAATTGCCTGAAAGCAATGGGAATACTGTTATCTGGACAGTCACGGACCTATTTTCCAAACAGGTGCACTTTATCCCTTGCCAAAAAATTCCCACTGCAAAGGCCTTAGCAAAACTTTTTATCCAGCACATTTACAGATTGCACGGGGCACCCCAACGCATCATCTCTGATAGGGGAGTGCAATTTACGTCTACATTTTGGAAGGAATTTTTATCCCTCTTAGGGACCACTCAGGGACTGACATCTAGCCATCACCCTCAGACAGATGGACAAGCGGAACGCTGCCAGTCGGTACTTGAGCAATATTTGAGATGTTTTTTAAATTTCCAACAGAGTGATTGGACGGACTTACTTCCTTTTGCAGAAGTTGCCTACAATAATGCAGTCCACTCCAGCACAGGCTACACTCCTTTTCAAATAGCCAACGGCCAAAGTTTCAACCCTATGCCAGAGTTAACCCCAAAAGAACCAACGATCCCTTCACTGAAAGAATGGATGGAAAACCTACAAAACACCTGGCCAATAGTCAGAAAATCACTAGATGAAGCTAGGCGGGCATACAAAGCACAAGCCGATAAAAAAAGGGTTGAGCCTACACCATTCATTATAGGAGAAATGGTGTACTTATCTACAAAATACCTAAAGTCCCTACAGCCCTGTAAAAAACTTGGACCAAAATATATAGGACCTTTTCCAATTAAAAGGATCATAAATCCAGTAACAGTAGAATTAGAATTACCCAAAAACCTCAGGCAAATACACCCAATTTTTCATTGCAGCTTGCTGAAAAGAGAGCATCAGTCACCTCTACGGCCAAAAATCCCCCCCCCACCACCTCCAATCATGGTGGAGGGGGAACAACACTTCGAAATAAAAGAGATCCTTGACTCTAGGAGATATCGTGGAACAACTCAGTACCTAGTTGCCTGGAAACACCTCCCTGCCTCACAAAATGAGTGGGTCCATAAACGTCACGTCAGAGCCCCGAAGCTATTGAAGAAGTTTCACACAGAGTATCCTAACAAGCCTAACTAAATTTTTTACTTGTGTTTTCTTTCAGGTGGATCTCTCTTATTGTTAAGAGGGGCCGGATGTCAGAATCCAATTATATTTCATCTTTAATTATCAAACATAGAAACTCCCAATTCTGCCTTCTCTGGATTCTGCCATAAGAGGGAGAAAAGGGGGAGAGCAAAGGGGCTTTATGGCCCTCACTTCCTTCAGCACACTTCAAAGGACTGAATGTGTGTTTATTGTGGCCTCTAAGCTTTAACATATCAAAGAAGAGTAATTGCCTTTCATGTAGTTATCTGAAGTCTCCATCCAGACGGAAGAAGAAAGGGGATGGAATTGTGATACTTGAAACTATCACTGGAAGGGGGGTTGATTGGGTGGGACTACTGGGGAACCCCTTAAAACCTTGAATGGGAGAGCTTGAACCCCAAGTCCTGTCTAGCATGCCTGCAACCATTTTCTCTTAATAAAGGATTCCTGTTGGAAGAATTATTCCAAGAGTTCTGTCTTCTTAAGATGCAAAGTGGGGTGGGTCCTTTATGAATTTATTCAGTCTGTCCCTCAAACCACATTTGATGACTGAACTTCTCATTTATTAGATAAAGAACTGTTTCCTTTTCTTAGTTCTGAATTATCTTTTAATTAATTTTAATGTCTGGGCATCAGGTAAGTGAGTTAGGAAAAAAGGGTGCATGCAAAAGAAATGAAATATAATCTAAACATGAGCACTAGGTGGCAGACGCCCCTTATTTTAAACCTTCAACAGTTCATTTGGTTTAGTTTCTAGGCTGGCAGCTACCATATTATATTGCATAGTAGACTGTAGCAGAATGAATCTGATTGGGCCTGCTTGTAATGTAACTAACATGAGTTTCATAGCATGCACTGGCCCGAAAGACTCAACTATAACACATTGGTTGGCTTTTAAAGTAACACCTGACTTCTTAATTATTGTCTTTGTTAAATGCATTGAAACAGCATTGGCAAGTAGTTTCAATATTTAAAACTTGGTTTTAAATATGTAGTAATTGACATTGGCAGTAGCTATATGAATCACTGATGAGCATTATAAATTTGATAAATAGATCAGAATAAAAGAATTGAAAAGACAAGTGTCCAATATATTACTGTGATGCAAGTTTTAAGTAGGGATGATGTAAAAGCTTTCCTGAAAAAAAAATTCATGAATAGAAGTGAATATATTATTCCATTCTTAAATAAATCTATTAATCTGCAAGAGGATAACTTGAAAAAAATTAGTCCTTTTCGGTGTCATTTTCAACTCTGTTTCCACTAATTTTTCATTTACTGACACATAACAATTTTTACAGATGTTCCAATGAATCATTTAGGCAACTATATTATTGTGTTTATAATATGTTTGTGCAAGTATATGAGCTATTTGCACAATCTGCATTTTGAATTATTTGACGATTTTTCAATTTTTCCCTTGATTGAATTCGTCTGAATAGCTTGCTCTTGAGCAGTTTCTTTTTCCAGCAATAAGCCACTATCAGGTTTTATCTTTATCCAGTTTGCCTCAACATTTTGTAGAAATTGACTATGTAATGCTTTTCCTTGCCAGTATATTATTCTTGTTTTTATTACATTATTTTAATATTCAACTTTTGTTTCATACATATTTGGTAAGTTCCAATTTTTAAGTTGTATTAATGCTTGTTCTTGACTGCCTTTTATGTAATTAGCCAATGCATCCTTTTCTTCTTCTTTGTTTGAGTTGAAGTAAATCTATGTTCCATTTCTACAGGGCAGGTAATAATAATAATAATAATAATAATAATAATAATAATAATAATAACAACAACAACAACAACAACAACATTGGAAGGGACCTTGGAGGTCTTCTAGTCCAACCCCCTGCTCAGGCAGGAAACCCTGGCCTATACCATTTCAGACAAATGGCTGTCCAGTTTCTTCTTAAAAACTTCCAGTGTTGGAGCATTCACAACTTTTGGAGGCAGGTTGTTCCACTGATTAATTGTTCTAACTGTCAAGAAATTTCTCCTTAATTCTAGGTTGCTTCTCTCTTTGATCAATTTCCATCTGTTGCTTCTTGTCCTGCCTTCAGGTGCTTTGGTATAATCTATCAATATCACTATGCGGGATATAATGCATAGTGAATAGTCATTAGCTTTCTTGTATAGAGACAAAAGCTTCATCCATTCAAGAAAATGGCAAAATGTGTCCTGTATCTCCTGGGTGTTTAGACTTTTGCTAATGTGGGAATTTCCTCTAAAGCAAAAATCAGAGAACCAGCACTCTTTTTGTAAAGACACCTTGTCAAGTTGGTAACAAAGGAATTCACTCTTGGAGAAGGGAGAATTGAATTGAATCAAATCAAATAGCTTTATTTGACCAAATGTGATTAGACAAAGAATTTTTTTCCCCAAAAGCTCTCAGTGTAGTGATTTTCTAAAATTACATGGTTATAAAGTGGTCAATTTACATGCACTGTTTGGGAGCTAAGCTGGTGAGGAAGATCAAGTAATGCATTTCTCATTTCAGACACTCTCGTACAACAGATACAATCTTGCCTCTGAAACAAGTGTAGAGGAAGCCAAAGAAATCTTTATCCGACGTCGATACAGCATGCGGCAGTCCACAAGGAAAGGTTACAGCTTACCATGGGGAGGGCAGGTATCTCTCACATAATAAGCTATGTGGTTTATGCAATCGTGTATGGAAATTGCTGAAGCTTCTGCAAAAATAAATTGAACACGAGAGAAGCCATCTAATGACTTGATAAAAGCATAGAAATAGCAAAATATGAGATCAATAAATCCATAGATTGAGAAGCCAAGGTCTAAAAGACAATGTATGGAATGCTGTATGACTATGAATGAGAGCAAGGATCCTTTCCAAGTTTGGGGAGTGAATGAAGTTGCTGTAAACAATTAATTTTATCCCATCTCCTTATTTTTAATCTTATCCCTTGAATTTATTAGCTTATATTTCTAACTCTTTTTCTTGTTCTATACAAAGGAAATGCTATGGAGGCAGTATATCTAAGTAGGTATTATGCATACTGCTGTTCATTAGCAATTGATGTAGCCATTGCATGCACCATATCAGATGTGGGGTGGCAGAGGTGCTATAACTTATAATTGCTACAATTTTCCTTTCCTTAAAAAAAAAATAACAGAAGAATATTATTGTCATTGTAGGGAATGTTCAACCAGGAAGCATTTAATTAAAAAAAAGAATTTTAAAGGAGATGGAGATTTCAAGCAATATGGATGAACAGTAGTTAGATTTGCTGACTGTAAGATTTTTAATTAGCATGAGGATCACTAATTGGGAACTGGAACTATTCCAGTATTTTAAATCCATATATATCATATGCAAAATAGATAAGTTTACAATTATATAATCATTATAATAAAATATATTGTTAGTATTAATTGCACTAATTTCAAATATCTTCTTTTCACATTTTCCTCTATAACCAGAGGTCATATAGGAATGGAAAATGGAATCCATACACATTTCTGCAAATTTGTATCTCTCTTTTTTTTCTCTTTGTCTACAGGCTGCCAGTAAAAGCCTGCGTTATTCATCCCTGCCCTTTAGTAATTCTCAACCAATTAGAAGAGCAGCTAGGATTGATTATGATGATCTAACAGGTAAGGCTTTTTAATTGAAATAATAAAAGAAAATGGGAAATTACTGGCAATTCTTATTAATTTTGCTATTATTTATCCAAGAGGTTCCAGATCGATACAATCTTAACAAAGTTTTGCTTTCAATGTCTCTGTGAGATAGTGCCCATCAGAATTTAAAATGCTTACCAATCTGTAAATTTTAGTTGCAAAACAACTGGAAAACACTGGTTGAGAAATGCTGGTTTAGAGAAATACCCACTTTTTGCATTAGTATTATTTAACATGAGGTTTGTTTCATTATCACAGACAACTGATCTTTTTCTCTACATCTTTTACAGCCAAATAAGATTGGGGACAGCATTGTCCCATTTAGATACCAAGCCTTAGTTTAAGAAAGCAGCCTGAATACAGATACAACTGCTTTTAAGTTTTCATATTAAAAGCACAATTGCCCTAATCCCTTGATTCCTTAAAGCAGCCATTTAGACTCATGTGGTAGCCTTTAAAGCTGTCAGATACTTTAAAGAAGCAGTTCTGCTTATACCCCATGAATTCCAAATTATTTTAAACAAGGTTGCACATTAGAGAACTATTAGATGTTACTTAAAAGTTGGATTTTTGGATTTTCTCCTGCTATCCTATGGTTGTCAGATTTTACCAGCCCAGTCCTAATCTCCACTTAATCTTTAACTGCTAAGTAGGCATAAATAGGCAGCTATGTTTTTTCAACTGTTTTGCATTTGCTAAAGGCACAGGGAAGCAACTCATTAAAAAATAGCAACATAAGCTGTAGATGAAAAAAAAAGATGTGGAAATTATACTTGTTTTATACCAGCATTTTCATATCAGAAAATACAATAAAAATATTTACAGACAAGTAATTTTTCATTTTTGGACCCCCATTTACTGGCTAATATGGGCTAAGGTGTGTTTTATATAGTAGAAAAATAGAGTTGGAAGGTACCTTAGAGGTCTTCTAGTCCAATCCCCTGCTCAAACAGAAAACCCTATAACATTTCAGACAAATGGTTGTCCAGTCTCTTCTTAAAACTTCCAGCATTGGAGTACCCACATATGTGTGCATGCATACATGTGCAATATTTTCTGTCAGATTTGCTTTTGGATAGAACAGTTCCAGCCACAGATGACTGCGGTGAAGCATTTAACGTGCCAAATGATATGTATAGTTCTTTAAAAGAAGCTATTTTGAACATATAATAAAAATGATATATTTATTCCAACCAATCTTTTCTTTTCAAAGAGCCCTAAAGCCAAACATCTTTGAACCTGATAATTACATGTGCTCCAAAGTCATCCTGTTTTTCATTGGCAAAGAAATTTATTTATTAATTGCAGACTTGCTCATCTTGAAGGTTTTATCTTGCATGGTCCAGTAATTGGCTTAACGTCCCAAAATATTAATAATAGAAATAAAAGAGGTGAACCCTAGCATGAATCATTGGACACAGTATAGCCCAGGGGTGTCAAATTGCTGGCCCGTGGGCTGGACGCGTCATCTGGAAGCCGCACCCACCCCATTGCCAGCAATGACAAAACCGCCCCGCTACATTGCACGATGTCATGTGATGTCGCGAGTTTAACATGTCTGGTATAGCCAAAGCTTTGGGCAATTGGATTTAGCAAAAAGGAGAATTTATTTATTTTAATAATTTCTATGACCATTTATCTTCTATCAGTGACTCTGAGTGGCACACAAGTATTACAACAATACTCAGAAGCAGTGGCCATGATGCTCAAACTGAATAATATATAAAAATCACATCATAGAAGAGATTGCATACCCTCTTGGCTCAAGTGCCTGGGAAAATGTAAAGAATGTTAAGATAAGGTATCATGTTAGACTTGATGCTGGAAATGCATACAGTAAAGATGGGCTGAATTTTATCGAAAATATGATTTGATGGCTTTATCCAGTGTTCATTTTGAACTCGTAGTTAAAGAATCTTAACCCCACCCACTTTCATTTAGACCAAATGTTACTATTTTTATAACTAGCCATAAGGAACCCTAGTTTTTTCATTACACTATGTTTGTCCATTCTTTAATAAAGATTCCTTTGTGCTTAAAAAGAATCTTCAAAACTATGGACAAGGAGGTAGAAATGTCAAATCTGGTTTATGTGGCACCAAAGAAAAGGAGATGCCTCCACAAAACAAAAGGGAAAAGAGAGCTAGATCTATATGGCCTATTTGTATAAATCTAAGTTATAATAATTAAAATTTAACTAGAATTATAGGGCATATCACTATGATAAGCAAAACTGGGACTAAATGACCTTTTGTTTAGCTTATTGTCCAATTGTTGGTTCTAATGGTCATTGTCGTATTCATGTCGGAAGCACCTAAGGCACTTTCAGGTTAAAAGGAAGCCGATGATATCACTGTTTCCTGGGGAATGCCCACTTGGGGGCTCCTTTCATGTCTCCACTAATGTGTCCACTGAAGTGGTATTCATCTATCTACTAACAGTCACTGCTATCGAACTGCTGAGCCAGAATGAGCTGGAGTGAATGACAGGAGCTCACAGTCAATGACTGTTCTCTGCAAATAGAATACATAAAAGTAACTTGGTTCTAAAAGTTGGTAAAACAAAGGAGATCATTGTAGATTTTAGAAAGAGCCAGCATAGTCATACTCCACTCAGTATCAAGGATGCAGTGGTAGAAGTGGTCAACAGTATTAAGTATCTGGGGGTGCAGATAACTAACAATCTGAATTGGTTTCTCCACATGTCATCCTTAGTGAAGCGTGCAAACCAGCATCTGCATTTCTGCATCAGATGAGGAGAGTACACCTTTCTCCTTCTTTCCTGGCCACTTTTTACAGAGGCACAATTGAAAACATTTTAACAAACTGCATCATTGTCTGGTTTGGAGACAGCAGTGCCTCAGATAGAAAGTCCATACAGAGATTGGTAAGGACAGCCAAGAAGATCATAGGAAGCTCATTTCCTGGTATTCAGGATGCTGCTTATAAGCGCTAGGTGCTTAGAGCTCAAAGCATTGTTAAAGACCCCACACACCAACTTTATGGTCTGTTTCTGTTGCTTCCCTCTGGGAGGAGGTTTCAAAGTATTTCTAGCAGGACTACCCAATTCTGTAATAGCTTTGTTCCCTATGCCATCCATCTGGTAAACTCGCAAGATTCGTTTTTCTCACCATGCACATGTATACATGTATACATAATGTAACAACTAGACTCTTGTTTCTCTGCGTCATATAATATATGTGGGTATATGCATAATTCTGTATTTATTTATTTTTGTCATATTTATATAGTGCATATTAGAGGTGGTGAACCTTTGAGAACTGTATGCAACAAAATTTCCTTTTAATGTATGCCGATTAGTGTACATTCAAAGTGTCCATAAAGTTATCATTCTATTCTATTCTATTCTATTCTATTCTATTCTATTCTATTCTATTCTATTCTATTCTATTCTATTCTATTCTATTCTATTCTATTCTACATGGTCACCATATCATTGTCTTCAAATTCTCCTCCTCCAATCATAGATATTTCTTTTTGAATTCAGGGTATGGTAGCAGTGACTCTGAGTCTGTCTTCATGATGCATAATTCAGAAGCTGTAACAAGGTCACCTCAGAGAAAACACCGCCAGCAGAAGGAATTTCTCCCAATGGAGCAAATGCATTCACAAACTAAACCAGCCAGTTTTACAAGGCAGAAAAGAACAAATCAACAGGATCAGCGAGCCAGAATACAAAAACCACTTTTAGCCCGGAAGACTCAACTTAATGCTGTTCTTGAAACTGATACTCAGGAACTTGAGTCAGAGGATGAGGTCAACAGGGCCTCATGCCCTACAGCACCTGCTGTAGGATGGACAGCAAAAACTAGAGGCAAAAACCATGTTTATCGGTCCAAAAGACACTTTACTCAAAGAAAAAAGTGAATCCTCACTCTTGCTGCATGCTCTGATTTTTATTCCAAATGTTCCAGAAATCATTGGAAATGTCTAAATGGAAAATGTCTGTATTCTTAGATGTGCTGGGCAAAATAAAAGATTTAAATATGGATTACCCTGTAATCTGTCTCTTACTAACTGAAAGCTATTATTTTCAGTAAATTTGTGATATTGAAAATCTTGTTGCAGTAAATCTGTGATCAAACCTACTGACAGTTTATTCCTAAATGCAGAAGAAAATGTCTGCAATGATCATGAAAATAACAGGAGTGAGCTATTAAATAAAACCTTGCATTTCTTTTACAGTTGTACAAATGTGCTACACAGCTGACTTGACTTTATCAGAATGAAGTGCTATGGGGCACAGTTAGTGCCCAATTCTTTTTAAGGAAACACCTTTGCACTGATTCAAATCTTCACTCATAAGTTTCAATAGCTGAAGAGATTTCAAAACATGTATTTTACATGTGTATAAATCTATTTTGACTTCCAACAACTTATTTGTAACAAGATGTACTGACTGGATAAGAGTTATTTTTATTGCTTCATGAAATGACTCTGATAGGGTACTTCTCATGAACTTTTATGAAATTATTAAAGTATTTTAATTTTAAAACTTTGCAAAGCCCTATTGTTAACAAACTAGCTCTATGTGCTGTTTCAATCCAATACAGTGAAATAAGTTTGTAGTATTGAATTTTATTGGTTCTTCTCCAAACAAAAGTTGTTCAAGATCTCCAGTATCAATCATGTGCATGGCTCCAGATACATAAAACAAATGTATTAAATAAAAATAGTGGGAATATGAAAACTTGACGATTTCCTCAAGTGCTGTGACATGAACTCACTTCACCAACTCACTTTGCCTAACAAAGAATATTATCTATATGATAGATACGTTTGCCTATAATTGCTTATAATTCTGTCTTTTAAGGCTTTCCTAAATCTTGCAATGAATCTATGTGTCTTCAGAGCTACTGCTCTATGAAATTAAAATTGGAAAATTTTCTTTTTGTTTCTAAAATGTTGCTTGGTGTCACAGATTTATTCATTTGCTGGGAAGTTTCTTTTTGCATGGGGCTAGATAGAATATTCAGTCAGACAGGCAGGCAGGCAGACAGGCAGCCAGCCAGGCAGGCAGGCATGAAGGCATTCAATTTACATGGCTGCCCATCTCATGTTGATGATTTGAGCAGCTAATAAAGTTAAAATGGGCATGATACTAGGATACTGGAGGAACCTTCTCATCCCCCAGTTACACTGACCCACTCAAGCAGGCAAGAGATCCTATGAATACCATTAGTCAAAGAATCTAGAAAAAGAGCCTTCTTTGCTGTTTCCCCTGCCTTTGGAACATCTTACCTGCAGAGGTGAGGCAACCCCCACCTTTCTGGTTTTCTGGAAAAATGTTAAGTCCTGAGACTGCCCATTAGCATGAGGGTCTAAGTTTGTGATGCAACCCTGGGACTGGCTGATGGTTTGAGGGCACTCCCTCCTCCTGGTTAACTGTTCTGAGTCTCCTGAATTTTTTAATTTTGGTTTTTCACTTTTAATCTGGAAATTTTAACCTTGTTTTTAATTCTGTTTCTAACTATCCTTTTAGTCATGTGTTTATATTGTTTTTTTAAGGTCAGGGTCACTTAAGTGAGATGGGTGGTATAGAAATTTAATAAACCAACGAATAAATAAAATAAAATAAATTATAAAAACAGAAAAACACATAAAACTTTTCAGTTATACAATAAATACTTCAAATGACAATGGCAAAAAATGATTTCCAAGGTTGCATTTGTTACTATGATTTCATAGTGGCTTTAGTTCCATGCAATCACATATAGACACACACATATACTCTAACACAAATCACTTTTCTTAGCCTTGCCTGAACTATAATATATTTCTCCTACAATTTTCTGTATTATTACAGAAATGCAGAATGGCTTATTAATGGCTTATACTATATTATTCAGAGCTGTCTGTTCAAAACAAAAAGAGTTTTTTTTAAATACATAAACTAAGAGCTGATTTGCCTATTACCAGTCATAAAGATATCAACAGGAAATTATGTTTTATTTCTTTAATTGTATCTTCATAGCTAAGACGTGCTACTGTTATGTTACGTGTCATAGCTATGTACTTAGAGATATGTTACGTGTACATAGATATGTAATAGATGTTATTTGAAAAGTAATCATAATTATCTCTGAAAAAATATCTTGTTCTTAAAAACAGTCTTTGAGACTTCTATTGTACACTGGTTGTAACATAAGTGTTATCTAAAATACTGGGCTAATAGTCTCCAGTGCAAAAATACTAGATTTTAAGCTTGGCAACTTTAAGATGTGTGAATTTCAACTCCCATGCTGACTTGAGCTGAAATCTACACATTTTAAATTTATAATGTTTGAAAAGCACTGCAATAGACATGCAAATTATTCAACAAGGCACTTTGCTCATGAGTGAAACATCTTTCTGGATTTGCTTTTGGAAAGTTTGACCTTTTGGATACAATACAGTGGTATTAAGGGCTTTTTGACATGTTCCAGGTATTCTTAGAAATCATTTCTCTCACAGATAACAAGACCTGGCAATGGTTAAGAGCAGGAAAATTGAAGAAAAGGAGAGGGACTAATTTTGACTGCACAAGACCAAGCCTTAAGAATAAATACACAAAGCCAGAATTGAGAAGACAGCAACAGAAAGCAAATGTCACCTCTGAAAAGAAGATGAAAAAACAGTGGACAAACTAGTGCAGAAAGATCACATAGACCAGGCATGCCAAACTCGCGATGTCACGTGACGTTGGGCAACGTATCACGACTTTTCTCCCATTGCTGGCAATGGAGTGGGTGCAGTTTCAGTATGATGCATCCAGCTCATGGGCCAGCAGTTTGACATGCCTGACATAGACTGATTACAGATAACAGCATGACAAAATAACAACAGTGGAAGAGCTGCAAGAAATATCATTTGCCTGCAAACAAGAACTGGTGGGATCATAAAATAGATAATGTAATGGAAAATGAAGAAGCTAAAGTGCTCGGGACTTTAGAATTCAAACAGACAGGCACCTGCCATATAATACCCCAGACTTAAAACTGTTTATAAGGAAGGCAAATAAGTGTGGCTAATGAATATTACAGTACCTGAATACAGCAGAATAGAAAAGAATTAGAGAAAAATCACAAAACACAAAGACCTGCAACTAGAAGTAGAATGACTTTGGGAAAAGAAAGCAAAAATAGTACCAATAATGATAATGATTGGGTGCAATCCCAAAACATCTGGAGCACCACTCCATCTGCACTGACAAAATCTCCATCAGTCAATTCCAAAATAGCAACAGCTTACATACTGCAACAGTACCTTTAACATCACCAAACAACAACATCTGTCTATCCATGTACTTGGGGAAGACTCAATAGATTGATAAAAATGCCAAATCCTGTCTAAATATCTGGCTGGGCAACCAACAGTAATACTTTTACCATTGCACATGTGAACAGGAGAAACAAGTATTTATTTTGACTCAAAAAGGAAAAATACAGATGAATTTCCAATCTAAACTGAACCTTAGCGAAACAAACATTGTGCACTGTGTACTATTATCTTAAGCCTGCACTATAATTACCTCTACAGTTTTGCAAAAGATTTGCTACTGGGATTAAGCAGCTGTGTGCCAGAATAGATAGGGTGGGGTTATTTTTAAATGAGTTATAAGGAACAAAGAGGTTGCAGCTAGCTGGTGCTAGGATTTGCCAATCCCTGTAATGCATTTTCAATTTGAAAAAAGAAAACTTTCCTTTATTTAGAAAACCCGCTTCACTAATCATTTCTTAGTTCAGATTCCTAGTCTCAGGAATATTCAGATGCACACAGAACACATATTTTCACTTAAAACAGAAGGTAGATTTGTAAGGTGTTAAGATTCTCAGTTGTTTAATAACCATAAGCAAATAATAAGAGGTTTTTTTTTTAAATTAGACTATTGAAATGTAAAGCTTAAAGGGAAAGAAGCAGGGGATTCAATTTCCTGCAAGCAAATGTCCAATAGTTAAACTACCATGGGCTGAATATGTGCTCAGAGGGATCCAGTTCCTTAATTTTAAATATACGGTCATGTCACTATTATTTCCCTATATTCTTGTGATACTCCTTGATTTTTCTCAATAGATAATAGCATGATTCAAGTTATATAATTCATATTACAGCATAAAATGTTTTTCATGATACAGCACGATTCATATTTAGGTTCTATCAAGCCAGACCAGGTGTTCTGCAAAAGTATATTTGTTTTGCCTGAACACGCCATTAAATCTGCAAAGTCTATGAAAATCTGGTATAGCACATTGATAGCAGTGGTAGCATCAGCATGTCCTTTAGCCCTGCAGTGCCTTTTCAATCTTCCTGAGGTTTTTCATTAAACTGAGGAAGCACCATCAACTTCAGAGATCAATTAGTATGCACTTCTTTGACAAGCAATGAGTGCTAATCAGTGGATATTTTAGGAAGCCTGCCAAAGCTGACATACAATTTACAGATTACCGTATATGCCGGCGTATTAGGTGACCCGGCGTATAAGACAACGCCCGTCTTTATCGCCGAGTCGCCTTCCTTGAACGTCATCTTATACGCCGGAAACTACCAGTATTTCCGGTGTATAACACAACTCGGCATATAAGACGACCCCCGTCTTTGGTGCCGAGTTTAGCGCTTCTGGAAGTCGTCTTATACGCCGGCATATACGGTAATATTTTTATTTTTTATTAACAAATTTTATTAATTTTTCAAATTTTAACAACCAGATAATTAGGAAGCAGCATGGTGATAGGGTAATCAATAATCCAATAACCGAGTGATACATAGATATCTCAGTTTACATCAATAAAGGTTCCCTCTCTATTTCCCTTAGGTATTATATCACATTCATATTAGTACATTTCTAGCTAAAGTTCAATCAATCTATACCAGTGGTTCTCAACCTTTTTAATGCTGCGACCCCCAACCGGTCGTAAGTCGAGGACTACTCAACTGGTCGTAATGGATGAGATGAGAATTGAAATATCCTCAAGGAAAAACAAAATCCAGTTGCCTTTTGAAAAAGCACCTTTGGGACAATCATGACCTGGATTACTGAGAATCTCCATAGACTCAGATAGACCCAGATTCAGGGTCCAATCACTAAAGGACTCCAAATAAATTCATGGGAATATCCATCTAGGCCAGTGGTTCTCAACCTTTTTAATGCCGTGACCCCCAACCGGTCGTAAGTCGAGGACTACTCAACTGGTGCAGCACCGTTTGCAGAATGGGACCTTTGGCGGGCTCAGCAGGGCAGAGACAGCCTGGACAATTCCTATTGGCTTTTGAAAGCCAATAGAATTAGACTCTATTCAAGAGAGTCTATTCTATTGGCTTTCAAAAGCCAATAGAATAAAAGGGAGAAGCACAGCTAAGGAAAAGGGGAAAAAATGGCGGACTACGTTGTTTGGCGACCCCCGTGAAATGGTCGTTCGATCCCAAATGGGGTCCCGATCCACAGATTGAGAACCATTTATCAATAACATTTATCTATACATTTATCAATAACATTTTAGTTATATATATCCAAGTCCTGTTTTTAGGTTTTATTTAATTCCAGTTATCATATTCCAATTTAACCTTTTATAACCACTATTTATAATTTGGATAGGTTTAGTTTCTCTCATTTCATTATAAACTAATTCTTGTGACTAAAATACAAATATTATTCCAAAGTTTAAATTCTTTCTTTATTCACCAATATATTCTATTTCTCATCCTAATAACTCCTCATATCCTAATAACATATCTTTCATTGTTACAAATCTATTTCCCTATAACCATTAAGACTATAATCTAACAAATTATTTTAATTTCCATTATAAATCTGAATACTAAATATTAAATAAGTCAATATCTCTAAGAACAGTCAAAATCTCTAAAAGAAAAGCTGCTTAACCCTCAAATGAATTTTTAAATCCCATTTTAAAATCTAACTCTGGCTTTCTTTTTATGCTAAGCAGGCTTCCATACCAATGCCCTTAAATCTTCCAGTGTATTTCCCTTGATTCCCACACATATTGTTTGAATCAAGGGAGAACATCCAGTTATCAGTTTTTTAACGAAACTGGCCCCTTTGTAGTTATTAGGTTGTTGCCCTGTCATCAATTCAGTCTGGTCTTCCTCTTCTTTCTGAGTGAAGCAAAGAGTAATATCCGGTGTTGTAATTGTTGTTTGGTCATCCAAGTTGTCTAAGTTCTCAATATGATATGTCTGTAGATCAGTTCCTGTTGCTTTTGGAATTACAGGTATTTTAGTTGGCATCAGTATCT